GCTGTGCCTGCCTAGGTGGGACCCCCCGCCAAGACGTTTCCCGGCCACCCCTATAGGGATCGGCAGGGGCTGGGCTCCCGCGGCCTCAGCCTGTTCTCCTTCTGCTCATCTGGCCAGTTCTGGCCTGCTCCTCAGCACTGCCCAGGCCACCACAGGAGAAATGTCTCTGAAGGCAGCCACCTCAGTGTCCTCCTTGGAGTTTTAGGCTGAGCCTTGGCGATGCTGTCATTTCTAACCAAGGAAGGCTCCAGCCCTACATTTGCCCTCTTACCTTGATGCAAAAAGGACTAGGAGGGACCAGCAGTTAGCGTAATGGCTATGTCGCTGGATTCCCACATTAGTTGACCGCGGTTCGAGTCCCGGACCCAGTGGCTTAAACTCATGCAGGGCACGTGTCCGTGGATCCCCAAGACCCCAGAGGAGAATGGAAGAGAAGGGATTGTGGCTTGGTTATCCCCCCTGGGGGGTGATTTCTCGCTTTCTATTTCTCTGTCTCTCTCTGTCTGTCTGGTGAGCGCATGCACCCTATAGCAAAAACCTCTCCAAGAAAAGAAAAAAAAAAGGACTGGAATATGATTGTATACTGCAGTCTTACAATTCTCACTGAACCTATGGGAGCTTACATTTTATTCATGACTATACTTCAGCAATGCTAACTCTGCAGAATGGCTTAACGATATAACTCCATTTTGAGTATGTGAATTTTTATCCTATAATACAAGCTATAACTGAGCCGAGTCACTGCTAGCCACGCTGATAAATCTATGTCAGTATGCAAAGTGAGCTGGTGGGCTTCGAGACCTTTCCCTCCACAAAGGAATCTGGAAGCTGAGCTAGCATGTCTTTGGGGCTATACATATCAATGCCTTTGAAGTGTTATCTGCGATACACCGCCCTGCGACTCCACACTTTTCAAGTATCCTCTCAATAAGGCATCAGCTGCCTGGGCTCTGACTGACTGGACAGTCCCTGGGCCTCATCGTTGATGACTTGAAGGCATTCCAGACCCATTTGAGTGTCACCTTGAGAGGACTGGTCTCCTGGACCATTGACAGATTCCTCCAGTGGATGCCTGGAGTTCTGTTCATTACTAACACTTGGAACTTCCATGGTTTTCCTTCCTTTGTCTCTTATCTTTTACTTCTCTCATTGTCTGTTTGCTCATTTATCTGTGTGCGTGAGTGTGTGTGTGTGTGTGTGTGTGTGTACGTGCAATGCAATAACTGATTCACGTGGAAACAATCTTTGCTCTGTTTGGTCGTCATTTGATCTGGGCATAAAAGAGCCTGCCTCTCTTAAACGAAAGTTGGGACCAGGAGCTAGCATAATGGCTGTGTTGCTGGACTCCCATGTAGTCAACCACGGTTCGAGTCCCGGGCCTGATGACTTAAAACTCACGCCAGGCGGGTGTGCGTGCGTGCCCAAGATCCCAAGAGGAGAATGGAGGAGAAGGGATTGTGGCGTGGCCATCCCCCCCTGGGGGGTGATTTCTCGCTTTCTGTCTCTCTGTCTCTCTGTGTCTGGTGAGCGCACGCGCCCTATGGCAAAAACCTCTCCAAAAAAAAAAAAAAAGTTGAATTGGCATCAGGTATGGGGAATTGGATCCTCTTTCTAGGTCTGGTGCGATGGGCTGGATGAAGAATCGCCACTTTCCCGAGTGCCCTTGATCACCACAGCTTCACTATGCAAGCACACCTGCCTATGGGCTAGCTTCCTAGTAAGGACTTGGAGGCCAAGGACAATGTTTGAAGCCACCTCCTCCCATCCACAGGTTCATAACTTTTCAAAACAAAGCTTGTGGCCACCCGGTTGTCTGTCTTACCTAACCAGTAACCTCTCTTTTCCATTTATATCACAAGATGTGGGATTTGCTCTTTCTCTTCTAAAGCCTACCACTTTCTTCCTGTTTGGCTGGTAGACAATGCTGGGCATGTGGGCTGTGGCAGAGAAGCTTACAGACCACCATCTCAAAAGAAAAAGTGGTGTGAACCCACGTGGATATACCCTAGCACAATTCTTCTTTATTTTAAGTTTGCTATGGGGTATATATGCTCACTAGAGAGAGACAGAGAGAGAGAGAGAGACGATGAGAAATCACCTCCCTTGGGGCTATGCCACACTCCCTTCTCCATTCTCCTCTGAGGATTTTGGACACACGTATATATACACCCAGTGAAATTTTCAACCACCAGTTCAGGACTTGAACTGTGCAGTTGGCCATGCAGGATCTGCCTCAACCTCCATGCCACCTCCTGGCCCAGCACAAGTTTTAAAAAGCCTACTTATAGGGGCCAGAAGGTGGCATAGTAGTTTACACACTGGACTCCCATGTGGTTGATCATGGTTTGAGTCCTGAACCCAGAGGCTTGAAACTCATCCCAGGCACATATGTGTGCATGCCCAAAAGCCTGAGAGAAGAATGGATAAAGGATTGTAGCATGGCCATCCCCCCTGGGGAGTGATTTCTCACTTTTTCTTTCTGTCTCTCCAGTAAGTGCGTGTAACCAATAGCAAAAATCTCTCTTCAAACAAACAAAACTCACTTGTTAAGTTCAGACAGTAATTATAAAAATGACCTTCTATTGTCAGGCTCCTTTATAAATCCACTTCCTGAAAGGGTCAATGGGTGACATGGTGATTAAGACACTGAACTTCCAAATGGCCAACCTCAGTTCAAGTCCCAGACCTGGTGGTTTAAAAATCTTGCCAGGCACATGTGTGTACATGCCCTAAATCCCAGGGAGGAGAATAGAGGAGAAGGGACGGACTGTGGTATGGCCATCCCCCCTGGAGGTGACTTCTCAGTTTCCTTCTTACTGTCTCTCTCTGGTGAGCACATGCGTCTATAGCAAAACCTTAAAAAAAAATTCATTTCCTGAGACTGATAGCAACCCCCACTTCTGCCTGCTCAGGTAAAAGTAGTTGCCAAACAGGTAATGCCTTGTCGGATGCCAGCTATAGAGGAGTCCTACATATAAAAGAAAGCTCAGGTGAGTCACTCACCACACCTCACCTATCCCTAGAGGTGATCAAACCAGGTGTGGCTCAGGATCCTGCCCAGCCCCGTGAGGCCTCAGCTATAAGATCCCCGGGCTCCAAACAGAGGCGAGGGTAGGCTTAGCCCTCTGATCCCCTAGAGGTCCCAGGGCCTTTCATGGAATGATCCGAACTCCTCTTTGCTGTGGGGCCATGCTCGTGTGGCTGAAGTAGCCAGGCAGGTGCTCTGGAAAGCCAAAAAGTCACTTCCTCTGGATACGCCCAGGGCTGCTCCCAAAGGGACCACCCCAGACACCAGGACTCACTTTGTATTTACTTCTGGTAGTGAGTGGAGTTTGCAGAGCCACCTCCTCCCCCTCGGATGGCATGGACGGCTGTGGGCGATGATGCGGGATAGTGTCCAGGACGGATGGGCTTGGCTACATGCAACCAAAAGAAAGGAGAGAGAACAGACACTCAGAAAGGGCTTCCAGCAAGGCAGATATTGATAGGTCCCACGAGACGACCAAGAGTCACAATGCTGCCAACGTGACGATTCTTACCAACCACCCGACGTTCCTGACGAAGCTTCGCCCTTCTATCAGTGAAGTGAGAAACGCCAGGGCACTCAACATTTAGGGGGCAGAGAGAACTTACACATCACCTAGTTTATTGTTAATTCAGGCTGAGAAAAATTAAACACAGAGGACTTTCAGTTTTATCTGAGGTAACTCCGCAAAGGATTTCAATGAGGAAATTGAAATTGGAATCAGCCCCCGAATTAGAAACAGAATTATACCTGTCATGTGTTTTTGTGGGGAAAGGGGTCCATAGTTTTCAGCAGATTCTCGAAGGTATAAGATCCAGTAAAGCCAATGAACTACTAATCTAAGGTATGATTTTAAAGCCAGGAACATGAAGTTCCCGGTTTACAATACATCTACATGGCAATATCTGATGGGAAGCGGTAGTACATGTTATTAGAGATGCTTCCATTAAAACAACAAAAAGTAAACTTCAGAGCACATCCCTAAATCCCCTTTATCCCTGTGGTTTACGCTGGGAACTATGACTCAGTAGCTGCATCTTCATTTTCTTTGTGGGCAAAATGCCCAAATCACACAGACACACAGGGCCCGGGACTCCAGGCGTCTGCAGGCCTGTGCCACATTGTCGCCTCTCCCTGCTCAGTAATGCCAGCGTGACTGCAAACTGAGCTTGCAAGTGGCTTTTGCTGAGGCTTGAGCTACCCACAGGCTCCTTCTGATCCTGCCTGCAGTAGAACACCAGGGTCCTTCACCCCGCTGAGAAATATCTGGAATAGGTCAGCGTTTCTCAGAGTGCACCTTCCCTTTCAGACCTCTGCCTTTAGATCTGCAACCCTGGGCGGGCTTCTCCGCTCTGCCCTGCAGCTTTGAAGACCATGCGGTGCCTGCTGAAATACCTAAAAGGAAACAAGGCAGCTCCTGACACCCCCATTCTGTTAGGATGCAGTGCTATAAGGGCTAAGTGGAACAGCCTCGCAGATGTTCCAGGTGGGCCTGGCACCACCTTCACCTCTGGTAGGGTCCTAGATGAGAGGCCACCTTCACACCAGAGTCCCTGAGTGCTAGCAGCACCTAGTACATACCAATCTGGGCAGAGTGCGCCCTCCTGGCCATGTTCTTGGCCCGCACCGCCTCCTTGATGCGATCCACCTCCTGCTGGTAACGCTTGCGGTCCCGCATGGCATTCTCCTTGGCCTCCTTCAGAGCACTCTCCAGGGCCTTGACACGCTCGGCCGTGGCCCGCAGCCGCTTCTCCAGCTTGGGAAGCTCACAGCGTAGGTCTGCATTGTCCCGGACCAGCTGGGGTGAACAGAGGAAGGGTGGTGGGTTACCAGGGAGGCTGTGCAGGAGAAGTGGGACAGCTAGGAGCAGACTCAGGGCCGACCGACATCCTTTGCGAGAGGTCAGTTTGACGGTCCACAGGACCACAGAGTAAAGAAAGATTCCGTCCCCTGGGGCTCAGGTTCGCTGAGCACATGATTCACGAGGCGCACAGAATGAGGGACAATAGCAAGTGGAGTGAAACATAAAATTAAGTCATTTCTAGCCACGAAGAACTTTCACTGTGGAATAGGACTTTCCTCCTCTTTTGTTTGGATGTGTGTTGGGGAGGGAAGGATAATGCGATAAAATTTACTACTAGAACATTAGCGTGGGAAATCCGAGAAATTCATAGGCAGTTCAAAGCCAGTTGTGAAACAGCATGCATGTGGGCCAGTCAGTGCAGTGTTGGTTAAGGAGGCTGGACCCCACATTGCCAACTGCACCATTCAAGTCCTGAGCAGGGGCATCGTGAAAACATGCTGGGCACATGTCTGTGTGCACCCAAAATCCCCAAAGGAGGGAGAAATGGAGGAGAAGGGATTGCACGTGACCGTCCCCCCAGGGGCGGGGGTTGTGCTTTCTCATTTTCTTTCTCTCTCTCTCCAATGAGCGCACACGTCTTCTGGCAAATTGAAGGGGAAGAAAGGAAGGGAAAATATGCACATTCTGGGGCTCCCCGAAGGCACCCTTTCATGCAAAACCACTGTCTGTGGTGGCCTATGACTGGACCCGGCTTCGCAGTATATCCAGGAGTTAACAGGGATCCCGAGATTCTGCTCCTATTTTCTTACCTAAGACTCACAATTAGGAAGCAACAGCCCGGGTTAAGAGTGGGCTGTTATTTCCTGGCCATCTAAATTGTAAAAGTCATTTGCTCACCACAAATGCCAGGCTTCTCATCTATAAAGGAGAGAATACCACATAATAGGGCCATTTGTGGAATCCAGGTGGATCAAGAAAAGTTCTGAACATTGGGAAGTGTGATACAAAAGTGAGCTGCTTTGTTTACCCCAACGCCAGCTCCGCTGCCTGGAGGAGAGCAGGTTCTTAATAAATATTCATTGAGTTCATGAATAAAATAATGAATTTCAGAGCCCTATTTCAAGCTTCTTGGCAGTTTCTGCTTTTACATCTCTCATCAACAATTTGCTTGAATGGCTTCAACCATCTTGAATGTGTCATCCTCCCTCTAGGGAAAAGTGCCATCCACAGCAATGGTGAAGACGACTTAAGAAGTCAAAGAGAAACGACATCGCCTCAGCCATCTGGTCCAAAATGTGGGGTCCCTTCCCTCACATCCCAACCCTCACGAGGGAAAGGAGTCGGGACACGCCAGCAGTTAAACACAAGAGATTTTAGACAAACAAGCTGCGTAATCACAGGTAGGTCTGGACATAGTTGTCACCGCTGCCACTCCAGACAAAGGCCAGGGCATCGCAAAGATATGACAGGGTACCCAAGATCACCAGGAAGGTGACAGACCACAGAGGACGCTGGCTCCCGTCCCAGCTCTCCCACTGTGAGATGAAACAAGCCACTTCCTCTGCCCGTCTGTTTCCTCGTCTGTAAAAACAAGGGACCTGAACCTCTTAGTGGCATCCATTTTGCATTGCATGGGGCTTCCGGATCCACAGAGATGCTTCAGAGTCGTCACAGGAGACACTGAGGTCATTGGGGTCCAAGTCAGGGGTGGAGGTAGAATGAAAAGAACCCCTTGTCCCCTGAAACTCAAGCACTTAAACTCGATTACTTACACGTGGCTTCAGTAAGAGACAGTCTTTTATATACTGGAGAAAGGAAGTGGCTGAGGGCGGGATTTCTCAGGCCCTTTAGAGCACTCATGCTCTCTGGTGCCCTGCCGTCCTTTCACCTTCGGCCTCAGACCTGGCTTCCCATGGAACCAACCCCAGCAGGGCTCTCTTCCAGGGTGGGAAAGGAAGCCGAGAAAGCGGCAGAACTCCCCTACCTGCTTGTGAACCTTAGTGAGCTGCTCCAGGTTGTTTTCCAGGAAGGAAATTTTCTGCTTCTGGGCGGCACTGCCCCCTCCGTCATCACTGTCCAACTCTACGCTCTGCAGCGACAGCAAGGGGTCAGCAGGACTGGCTGTCACACTGCCCTCCCTCCACCCCAGTATGATGTGGATGACACATTTGAAACCGTCTTTAAAAAGAAAAACGTTCCTAGTCCCCACCTCCCAACAAAGGGTGTTCTGAAAATAAAAGCTAAGAAAGGTTCTAGGGAGCAGCGGAGGGTGTAATGGTTAGGTCGCTAGGTTCCCACGGAGTCGACTATGATTCAAGTTCCGGGCCAGCAGCTTAAAAGTCATGCCAGGAGTGTGTGCATCCATGCCCAAAATTCTGGGAGGGGGTTGGAGGAGAAGGGGTTGCAGCATGGCCATCCCCCGTGGGGGGTGATTTCTCGTTTTCTGTTTCTCTGTCTCTGGAGAGCGTGAGCACCCTATAGCAAAAATTTCTCAAAAAGAGGAAGAAAAAGGTTCTAAAAGTTTAGACTCCACAAATTTCTCAGATAAATTCCTTAGTTGGTATCAAAAGTGTTATAAGGAGGAGCTATTTTTTAGAGGGCTTGGGGGGGACCTTCGAATCTGCTTTGGAAAGTTATGGATCATCTCTAGTAAAATAGACCTCTTCCCTGCAGGTTGGTTGAGACTTTTCTTTTCAAAGAGGGCATTCCTAAACTCATTAGGAAAAAACAATAAGAAAATATAAAACCAAAACCCAAGTTTGACCTCAAGCATCACAATGAGACGAGTCACCGAGTTTGTAAGCAAGCGCTTATGGTCCTGCCAGAGGATCACAATGGCCTCTGCTTGTACCTTTGGCTTCCAATTCTATGAAGTTCCTTAAAGCATCATTCTCAAACCAGCCATGGCATCCAGGTGCTAGGTAAACCCTTATATAAATCAGATCCTGAAACTGGCAAAACACTGCTTCTGGCAAACGGAGTGGGACAGATAAGCTGGGAAACACATATGCAAATGACCTGGAGTTCAAGGATGGCCAAAGCGTATCTGCTTCATTGGTTATAGAAGACATCACCATCCTCTTGAGAGGTCATGGCTATTTGTGGGGGTCTTCCAAAAGGTCATGGGGGGTTGGTAGGTGGCGTGGTGCTTAAAGGCACTGGATTCCCACATGACCAACCAGGGTCAAGTCCTGGACCTGGGAGCTTCCTTTCTCTCTCTCTCTCTCTCTCTCTCTGTCTCTGGTCAAATTTAAATAAATAAATAATACAAATAAACAAATAAATAAATAAATTTCAATTAAAAAAAGGTCATGGAAGATGTGTATTATAGAAACTGTTGTGCACTTCATAGTTTGGAAACCAGAATAAACTTACACTTAAATTACACTTTTCTTCAAATGTTGTGAAGTGCCTCTGTGTGAACATCTCAAATCTGCAACTCTCCAGCCTAAAGCAGGGGGGTTCTCAAGCTCAAGTCTGCATTGGAATCCCTGAAGGAGCTTGTTAAAACGCAGATTGCTGGGCCCATCCCTAGTTTCTGAGTCATGAGTTCTGGGCTGGGTCTGAGAATTTACATTTTTAAACCAGTTGACAGCTTATGCCATGTGAGAATCACTGGTCTAAAAGGAAGTAGTTTCTAGAGTTTTCGATAATGAAATCAGGGAATTCAGTCTCAAGCTTTTAACTTTCCCTCGACCAGGGTTCTGTCTGAGTCTGATGGGGCCTCCACCTCCTCCCTCAGATGGAGATGTTCAGTCCTCATCATATTTCTGGTCAGGTGCCCTCCCCACCTCAAGTCTCCCCCTGCCATCACCTCTGTCCCACTCTCCTACCTGGTCCAGGTCCCAGTCAGCTGTACTGTGCTTGCTCAGTGGTCACTACCTGCCTGACCCCGGCCACTCAGGCCTTGAAATCACTCCTCGTTCTCTGCTTGCTTTCTTCATATTCATTCTCAGAGTCTAAACTCACTAGAGCCACGCCGTCGGGGACCATACCATACCCTGTTTCTGTCCCTCGCTGGACACTCACACGAGGCACAGCAACCCTGTACTCAACTGTAGCGAACCCCCTCTCTAGGCTCCTTGTGCCCCATTTCCTCCTCTCTGCCGAGAATCAAGGTGCTACATTAAGCAAGACTGAGTCATCAGACTCAATCTTCCACTGTCATATACGGTCCTGCGAATGCCTGCACCTGGACTCGCTGCTCCTGCCCAGGCATCCCTTCTCCTTACCAAGCCCGATTTGTCTACCCACATGATTAACTCTGTCTTTCTCAGACCTGACTCCATCCATTACCCCATTTCTACTACATTTGACCTCTTCCCCTTGGTTCCTTCACACAGACACACATGCATGCACTCATGTGCACACACTCAAACACACACAGGCGTTTACACACATGTGGACATGCTGCTCTTAAATAAACCATCCTTCCAGCCTGTCACATCTGTGGATGTGGCCATTGCTTGTAAACATTTTGACAGAGTAGCCTCTGGCTAACCACCTGCCACTCCTCCCTTAAGCCTCTGCAAGCCGTGTGGGGAGTTGCTGTAATGAATCTGCGTAAGATCTCCCCGAGACCACCGCAGGCAGCGTGAGGACCAAAGCTGCTCAGGTTGAAACTCTCACAAACCTGGTTCCAAACCCATCTCTGCCCCTTTCCAGTGATACAATAATGGGCAGGTTATACCCCCACATCTGCAAAATGCGAGTATGAAACACCACTTCCATGGGTACCGGGAAAAGCGATGAAAAGACTGGATGCCGAAGTGCTCTGGCAACTCTGGTCTCGCCCCTACTGGCCTCCTGACAGACAGATATGAGGCTCTCCTGGTGTGAGTTGTCCAGGCTTCAGGACAATGCTGTCTGACAGACTGCTCTAGATATTTCGGCATCAGCAGTCCTGGCTTTGGGGCTGGCTCTGTGGCCTAGTGGATAAGGAAACTGGATCCCATATGGCTGACCTACCAGTCTGACTCCTGGCCTCAGCAGCTTGAAAAACTTGCTGGGAGACCAGCTTGGTGTAATGGCTATATCGCTAGACTCCCATGTAGTCTACCACGGTTCAAGTCCTGGACACGAGGCTTAAACTCACGCCAGGCATGTGTGCGTGCATGCCCAAGATCCTGAGAGGAGAGTAGAGGAGAAGGGATTGCGGCGTGGCCATCCCCCCTGGGGGGGTGATTTCTCACTTTCTGTCTCTCTTTGTCTTTTTGGCAAGCACATGCAACCTATAGCAAAAACGTCTGCGTGTGTACCCAGAATCCCAATAGGATGGAGAGATGGAGAAGAGATTATGGCATGACCATTCTCCATGAGAGATACTTTCTCCAACTTCCTCTCCCTCTCTGTGTCCCTCTGGCAAATGCATGTGCCCTCTGACAATTAAAAAAAAAAAAATAAGGACCAGCAGGTGGTGTGGTACTTGAGGCACTGAACTTCCTCATGACAGACCACAGTTCAAGTCCCAGACCTGGTGGTGTTCTCACTTTCTCTCTCTCTCTCTCTCTCTCTCTCTCTGGTGAGTGCACATGCCCTATAGAAATTTTTAAAATAATAAATGATTTTCTTAATTATAAAAATAATTTAAAATAAGATAGAAAAAAAGAGCTGTGACTTTCAGACAATAGGAGCTAGATAAACATTTGTTCAGTTGAAATGAAGGCCAAGAAATGCATTATAACTTCCTTTCACTGAGAAGAAAAAACTCGGATGGGAAAATGTTCCCCAGTATGTTTTTGCCCCCAGCATATCCTTTTAATAACATTCTATGGCATGAAGGAATTAATTGTTAAGCATAACCAGCCCAATTTAAGTAAGTGATACTTCTTCAAGTTGAAGTGATTCTTCCTGGTCATGTTTTATATTTTTCTACATGTTCTTTTCCACTCAGACAAAACAGAACTTACTTTTTTAACGCGGGTGGTCAGATCTTGGACGAAGAGTTTACGAAGATTATGAAGCGTCTGCAATTCTCTGGACTGGAGGAGAAGATGTTTTTAATGCCACTTAGGAAAAGTGAATTACGACACATTTGGCATCAGAGCCCCGACCCCCGACGTCTCCGCAATAGCTTTCCAAGCTCACTGTTGGCACGGAGTGTGCCACGCTTCCTACGACTCGCCCACCCACATCCGCCCTTGCCCCGGTGTCACTGTAAAGAGCACTCCAAGGTACAGAAACTGGGACCCCAGACGGTGAGTTGCTTGTCTGCTGTGCTCTCAATGGAGACCATTTTTTTTTCTCCACCACAAAAATTCAGGTTTTCTCACAAAAATTGTTAGTGGGCTATGTCGTATCAGAGTGGGTTCCTTTATTCCTATTTATCACATAACACTGTATGTCAATATAATACCAACAAGCTTACATGAAATGTTAGCCTAATTTCTCTCACCTTAACCTAAAACTGGCGATTTTCACATTCCTGCCCCTCCTGTGGCCCATGCCCACATCTGTGTGCGTTACATCACCGAACTAAGCATGAGGCATTTTGTGAATTTTCCAACCGGGCGGCCCTGGACAAGCTGCCTCATCGTTGTCAAGATTAAATGAGATGGGCCTTATCAAACTGTTAGAACAGTTTCCAGTACATAGTCGATGCTCAATAAATATTGCTAGTATTAATTTATTGAGGTTCATATTTCATATTACAAAAACCACTTCCTCATTTAGGCTTTATCGTTTCCTTTTGTTGTTGGTATACAATTAACTTCGAGGAGGCATTTTTCTCCTTCACTTTGGACTATTTTCTACAAATAAACCCTTCAGAATACAGAGACTGCTGAGCCAAGGGTCTGAGCCAAACTTGGTGATCTTTGTTAACAAGAACAGAAAATCAAAATAATGTTTCCATCTGTTCAAGTCTCCCTGTATTTACTTCAAAATGTATGCTTAATTTCTTGCAAAATACTTTCCTGTAAGGAAGAAGAGAGAAACTCCCCATTTAAATGTTTCTATTTGTCCAAATTGACCTAGTCCAACACAGAATATCGGCAGATACAGCTTGTATACATATAAGCTCACCAAAAAAAAAAGGGGGAAGAAACTGGCTATAAGTTTTAGAAACACTAAGTTTCTTGGAACAAAGGCTCCCTGTTAATTTAAGGTCTTGTTACCGGGTCCAATTCCGTGTTGAAATAAGCAGCACGTGCACTCAATTGCAGCCTCAGATGAGGTAAATTACTTTCTGCAGGGAGCCGAATGGATGTTATTATGAGTAATGTGCTGGCAGATATCGCGTGAGCTGAGCCACCTCCCGGTGCAGGTGCAGTGCAGAGCTCACAATGCGCACACACGGGCCCCCGCCCCACCAGAGCGAGTCAGAGACCTGCTCCCGAATGCCTGTGCCTGCCCTCACGCTCGCCCTCCTGCCTCTGTCATTTCACTACTGTTGAGCTGCAACCACAATTCATATTTCCATCTCCGATGCCACAGCCCAAGGGAAATGACAGGAGAAGACACCGTGTCTTATCCAAGGCCAGGCCTTTCCGTGGGCTGTGAACACCAAAAGTGGGATCTTGAGTTAGGCAACTTCCTCTTGTTTTTGTTTCATTTTAGGTGGATTCAGTAAGAAGTGGTTGGGGAGAAGCAGTTAAAGATATGTAAAATAGCTTAGGAGTTAACACACATGTCCACTTAGGCAGTGAACACTGGCTTCCAGGACAATGATTTTTCCTCCATCGTTGTCATTTTCATTCTCATTCCCCCACCCGCTGATTCACTTCCCATCACAGGCCACTGCCCTCCACGTGACACTCAAGGCTCAGCTTTCTATTACTACGGGAGTGAAGGTGGGACCAGAGGTGGCAATATAAGGCCCTTCCACATGGCAGGAGGCAGGGTCCAGCCCCAGAGCCAGACAGTGTCCCATTATAGCAGGATGGATGACTGGGGACCCAAGATGCCCAGACAGCCCATTGGCCTTTCCCACCCTCGTCCCCGGCAGTGGGCTTCATAGACTTCAGTCCTGGAAGCAAACTGTCCTCCACCTACCCGACCCAAACACAGCACAGGCCTTGCTAAAGAATGGTCCGCCGAGGACAAGCCTGTTTCTGAAAAGTATTTGCAGTTTGGTGGAGTAAAAACATCTGAGTCTACAGCGGCACCCACTGCAGGCTTTCAATATGGATTTGAAGGTGTGTATGTGTGACGCGGGTGGTGGTGGGAGCAGTGAGAGAATGTGGGGGCCGCTGTGGCAGTGGGTGTGTCCACGTGTGTGTGAGGGCTGAGTGTGCCTGTCAGGGAACAGCCTGAGGAAACAAGTGTGAGCACACCAGGTGAGCGTGGAATTGCGAGCACATACATGTGGAGGAAAAGAGAAAGAACAGTGGGAAGGTATGGAGAGGCTAGTCAGGAAAATGTGATGTTCAGAGGAGGTATTGAGGGGCCAACAGGCGGGATGGTGGTTGGGGTGCGGGACTCCCACGTGGTCAGCCATAGTCCAAGTCCTGAACCTGGCGGCTAGAAAGTCACGCCAGGCGAGTGTGCGTGTGTAGTCAGAACCCCTGAAGGAGAATGGAGGAGATGCTATTGTGGTGTGGCCATCCCCCTTGGGGGTGAGTTCTCACTTTCCCTTTCACTGTCTCTCTCCAGCAAGTGCACGTGGCAAAAATCTGAAAATTAAAAAAAAAGAAGAAGAAAGAGACCTATTCAGGGCTGATCTCATGGGGCAGCATCTAAGCCCCAAACCCCACATAGCCCACTGTGGTTCTAGTCCTGGCTCTGGCAGCTTAAAAAACAAGCTGGGCATGTGTGCGTGTGTCCAAAATCTTGACAGGGAGAAGAAATGAAGGAAAAAGGACTGCAGTGTGACCACACCCCAGTAGGGGTTGCTTTCTCTCTTTCTCTCCAGTTCTATAAAGCTCTCTGGTGAGCACATGCACCCTCTGGCAATAAAATAACATAAAATAGTCATACATATTCAAACATCACAAAAGGCAAAAAAGCTGGTTAAATATTCTTTAAATATCACATTCATGAGTGTGAGGATGAGTGTGAGTGAAGGTCTGTGGGAAGAGAGTGAGAGTGAATGAGTACGGAGTGGCGTGAGTGAGCAAGTGTGTGTGTGTGTCTGCATGTGAGGATGCTGGGGGACAGTAGTGGATGACAGCATCTGTGCACAGGGGTAGGCGTGAGGAGCGGGTGTGGGAGTGACTGAATGTGGGCGTGAGGGTAAGGAGTAAATGAACACGTGCATGTCTGTGCAAGTGAGAGCGTGTGGGCGACCACCAGTGAGCATGTGACGAGTGTCAGCTACGGGTGTGCACTGAGTGTGCTGCAAGTGCCCGTGCGTGACTGAGCACAGGTCTGAGACCGTGAGAGCAAGGGACTCTGCCGTGATCACTGTGTGCTGTGTGTGTACATGTCTGAGCGTGAGACGTGGGTGTGAGCCGCGGGTGTGACTGAGAGGCGGAGGGAAAAGACCGCACGTCTGTGAGGACGTCGAAGGCGGGGATGGGGGGGTGGGAGAGTGAACGGAAGTTCATGGGTAGAAATTTAGAAATCCTGAAATATCATTTCTCTCTGGCTGGTGTGAATATAGTAAAATTCTAATGTTCAATATTTTTCTGAATTTCTATAATTATCTATAATTATGGGTATCGCTTTTCTGGTAAAACAGATGTAGATGAAGCAATTTCATGGCTTCAGTTCAGCTTCCTTCACAGTCAGCCTCTCCCATAGTCCTCTGCACCTAAAAGGCCTGGCGTCCTTTGAAAACACCCGACGTCCTTCACTCTACGGGTAGATGGTTGTTCAAGCTAGACCTCTGGCTGCACACTGGCGCCTCGGTCAGTGTTAGTTGCTCCTTAAGCTAAGTAGAGAGAGTGAGGACACAAGCCACTCAGAACAGGGGTAAGGGGACAGAGACCTCCTCTCTGTGTCCTACTGGTATACCCTAGCACACAGAAGGCCAGCCCTGACTAGGTGCTCAATAAAATTCTGTTAATGTTGAGTGGAAGTAAAGGCTAAGCACAGAGGCTGTATTAAACATGAGGGTTGGTTTGCAATTCAGTTTAATTCTCAGACGGGAGCCCAAGGGTTATAGCTTTGAGGATTGATTGATTAATTCTGTCAAGAGATGGGGAATAAATTCTACAAATCCCACTTTTCCACGGGATGTTTTATGTCTGAAATACACACAAAAGGTTCACACAGATATTTTCAACAGACAATTCAACAAATGAATCTGGTGTTTGAGACTAACATGAGTTGAGAAAAATCTTGACATACCACTGTCTCCTCTAGCCCTTTGAGGTCTTCTCTGGCTTGTTCCCTTTTATCATTGAGCAATCTAAAAAACATAAAGGAATCATAAACTGCCAAAGGGAAATCAGAGATTTAAGCAGATACTATTTGCATCTACAGATACATCAATAAAGCAAACTAACAAGCACACAAAGAGCTGGCGTTTGTTTTTAAATTAGCCTGCCCCGACTATCTGGGTATCTGAATCACAAAAGTAGAGTTTCTAAGATTTCAGGGGATGAGAGAAAAGAGGAAATATTTAAAGTACACTTACAAGAGCTTTTCCAGTTTCATTTCTCTCTCTTGGTCCTCTATTTTCAGCTTGTTATAATCAGAACTGAGCTTCTCCTGCTCCAGTTGCAGTTTCTGATTCAAACTGAAATTGAGAAGAAAATGCAATGTATTCCATGTCGGTCTGAAATTCTGAGTCATCGGCTAAAACCAGGCTTCTGTTCCAAGCCCATTAGTTCTGTGCAATAAAGGCAGCAATTCTGGAGGGTTTTGAGGGATCAGAGAACAACCTCGCAGCTTCTTTCCTGCTCAGTGAAAACTAATTTCTGGGGTGCATCTAAGAGGCATGAAACAAAGGCTTTGAGAGTATATTTATAGTTTGCTTGTGTGCAAGAGCTTCGGGAGAAAAATAATGAGATGGAAAAAGGGCTGATAGTATAAAACAGAGAAAGGGAGCCCCAGAAGCATTCTGCTTGCTCTCCCTCTGAAAGCATGCACTCACTCAGGTAAACTTACTTGGCCCTGATAAATGTTCTGAAACCATCTCCCAGGCCCAAATGCTCGGCTGACATGGGGACATCTCACTCTGTGGAGCCCTCAAGGAGGGGGCACAGAGAGGTGAATTACCAGCAGTAGAGAGCCCAGGCTGTGCGGCAAACAGAAAGCTGCCATCTGGTCGGGCATTTGGTCAACATTTACATCAGCCCAGGGCTCATAAACCCTCTGTACAGCCATGCCGAAGCCACTGTAAAGGAGTGGATTACACACTACAGGAAGGGAGCCCAGAGTCCACTTGAACAGGTACAAGCCAAGGAAGCTTCCCACCTGCTAACTCGCTCACTGGCCCTCCCTCCCTCTCTTCCCCTCCAGCCGAATATTGTAAGGGTGATTACCCAGAATAATGAACAGGAGACATGCTCGAAGGGGAAAACACAATGCCAGCAATGGCATGGAGGTGGCATGGGGGAGGCCCCGAGGGGAAGGGGTGCAGGGATGCTGGTGCTCTCCTCAGGGGACTTGCAGAGCCTTCACACCCACTTAGACTTTGGCTCTGGTTACCAGACTCCTCCTTTAAAATGCAAATGCTCTGTGTGAGCAGCTCCTATACACGGAAAAGAGATTTGCATCAGTAGTCTGGAGAATTAAACTGGAACTCCAGCCTGATTCCTATTTAGCGATGTGACCTTAAGTAAATAACTTAACCTTGCTTTCCACATGGCTTCTTCATCTACAGAATATGGGAGAGGAGGGGCCCTTGGGAGGGGAAGGAGGGTGTTAGTGCATGGAACTGTATTTCCATACAACTGGTTTTCTTTGTAATAACATCATTCAGCAAAGGAGTTCAGAAACTGCCCTAAAATGTTAAGAACCCACTGTCCTTCTCAGTGACTTTTGCATTGCCAATGATCAGGGAGGGAGAGGGTGGTAGGGAGCAGGGGGCTCCTCTGTGGCTGCAACAAGGCAAGAGGACAGCTGGGAGAGGGCTTCACCAGAGACAAACCACCACGATACCATCCTGACTGCAGCCTGCAGGTCACTGGCACCTCCTCACATGCAGGCACGACTCTGTGGGTCCCCTAGGAAGTACACACGCGTGACTATGTGGCCGGAGCTGTGAAGTGGGTTTGTGTGTGTTGGGGTGAGTTGGCAGCATTGCTGACTATACCCTAACACATGCCCCAAGGCAGGACCAGTTTTCTCTCTACCTTCATACAGTCTCCTACCCAGTGGGGCACTTGCCTACCCAGCTCAGTCACCAACATGACCCTGCCCTGCATGCACTAGGAAGGGCAGCTGGGCCTGCCTGCTGCCTGCTGCCTGCCCAGGAGGCCCAGCTCCAGATGGGAGAACAGACCTCAGAAGCAGCATGCCCAGCCCCTGCGTTACCAAGGCACAGCACAGAGGCCCCGGGCAAGGAGAACAGGGCCCTTGGCTAACAGCCACATCCTCGGCTGCCCTGAGAGGACCTATTGAGCCATGCCCAACCTCTCGCCCCACGAACGCCAGGCCAACGCACTCTCGAATCTCATCGATGATTTTCTGCTTCTCCTCAATTTCGTCCCGAAGTCTGGACAGCTGCTTCTGGTGAGCTTCCCGGTGGCTCTCCATCTGCTGCTCCAGCGCCTTCTGCAACCCAGGCCAAGAGAAATGTGTCATCCACTCGTTGGCGCTCAGCCCACTCGGTGACAAGTCCTGGATTCCTGTCTGCCTCCTACCCTGCATCCCGCACATGTCAGACCCCCAGACCGGGGCCTTTCTGGCTCTATGTCCTCAGAATCCAATCTCGCTTCATTAGAAAAATGAAGCCCAGGATCTGTTAGAAAATGAATGGGCCCTGGGAGCAACTTAGTCCACTGAATTAAATAAAAAGTTTTCCCTTGACCTACAGCTTGTCTGAGTGCGTCTTCAGCCAGATCATTCGGAGGGCACTAGCATCTTGCTACCTGGTGGCCTTAGAAAGCCACCTTAACTGTGTGAGTCGCACTTCCCACCTGCAAAGTGGAGCTAACAGCCACTTCCCCGCCACTGCAGATTTATGATGCTGCTCAAAGGAGCCTGTTCCCCAGAGCACTCTGAAAATAGGGAGGGATGATCCAGGAGCATGGGCACACCATGGGCATCGCTTTAACTAAGGGTTTCTGCTCAGTGAGGCTCAGAGTTTGCCTAAAACTAACAAAGTCTGCATCTTTTCGTATGTCATTTAATTCACCTAAAACTTTTATTTCCTAATCTTTTTTCCTACATTTTCTTCTTCTGTTTAAAATATGGCCAAAATAAACACTTCTCTGTTTAAGATGAAAACTCAAATTTGCATGTTTCTTAGCAAAAGTTGAAGGGAGAGGTTTCTTCCATTCAAAGAGAGCCGAACATTTCTTCAAAGGCTGATCCCAACAATGCGGCCCACACTGTGATGGGGGTGGGGGGCTGCCTTTGCTCTCTTCATCAGAGATAGAGCGCAAGGAAATCACCCTATACTGACACTGCGGGGTTTCTGGGCATCCCTTAGTCATGGCATTTCCAAGACAGGCCACACCAGAGCCACTCTGAACGCCAGCAGCAGGCTTTCCCCCACACTCTGCCCTGTCACACCCATGTCTGAAGGCAACGCATTTCCTAGAACAAGAGAATCCTGTGTAAATGCAGGAGAGGCACACCGGGCCGGCATACACACCTTCATCTCCTCGGCGTCCTGCAGCCGCGTCAGATGTTCCTTCTCCTTGTCCTGGAAACTGACTTCGTGCATTTTTTCTGTATTGAAGTTTAAATGATGTTATAAGATCTAACTGGCAGGACTCACATCCAAAAGCAAAAAGTTACAAAACAAAACCAAGCAAAATGGCAAGAGTAAATTATCAGCTTACGTCACCAAGTACAACCATAGCATAAAGGAATGGAACTACCAAGGAAGGGCTTCCAGCTAAAGCCAAAGCAGACCGACCTTTCCTGCCCTTTGGGGATCAGAGCCCTGGGGGAGGAGACCACTGAAGCCCTAGAGGCACCTGCACCTCGGAGCACTGGTTTCCCGCCTGGCTCCGTGGGCGGCTCCCGAGGTCACTGCACACGCACGTGCATTGCAGATTCTAAAGCACTCCTGTGAGTGCAGGGTGGCGCTGAGAATCATGCCACTGTGAGAATTCCACAAAGGGCCCGTTTACTTCCCAGGGGTACGCTGTTCATGCTCTAGGAATCTGAAACAGGAAAACATCATCTAAGGATGGTAACAAGGGGAATAGAAATAGAACACTTCTGAAATTAAACAGAAGGGCCCCACACGTAGAGCTGGGCGGCTTTGAGAAACTCTCCTGGCGTGATCCAGGTACACGGCCCTCCCTGAACTGGGGAGCTGGGGCGATGGCAGGAAAAAAACTATCTAAGACAAGGACAGTCTCATCACGACTTCTCTCTGGTCTACTTCTCGTTATCACATGTTTCCCCCGTTTTATCCTACTCAGGGCACCACGGCACAAACCAGGTGTAGGAGGGCTCTTTGCCACACCCAGTTTTGGCAGTTTGCTCTACTCCTGACCTCCAGTCTTTACCACATAAAACAGTGACAAGGTCATAGCGGTGTGGGTAGTTTCCTTTCTTTTTAAATTAGCCCTGGCATTTGAAACAAAATGTAAATAAATAAGTAAATAAACAAACAAAATGCATTTACTAAGGAAATAACTGTATAGCAACAATAAAGGAAATAAGAAAAATAACATCACCCCCAATTGTACTGCCCTATGAAAATCATTTTCATCTTAAATATTAATTTCTAGGAACACAAGCATCCATTTGTTTCTCATAGCTATAGCCATGATAAGGATAAAATGATGTATTGTGATTGTTTTTAATGAACATTGCATGTAATGCATTGCGCACATCTGCATGGATTTCTCTCCAATATAATTTTTTTTAATTAAAAAACATACCGTCATTTATTTAACTGTAAGACATCTAAATGGCTTTTCTCCCCTTTTGGTTAATCTAAAACTCTGCAATGAATATTTGAGATTTGAGGATCCAAAGATATTAAAAATGTTATGATTGTTCATTTTATTAATTTATTTTGGAGAGGTTTTTGCTATAGGGCGCGTGCACTCGACAGACAGACAGAGACAGAGAGATAGCGAGAAATCACCCCCCCCAGAGGGGATGGCCACGCTGCAATCCCTTCTCCTCCGTTCTCCTCTCGGGATCTTGGGTACGCACGCACATGCACCCAGAGTGAGTTTAAGCCACTGGGTCTGGGACTCGAACCGTGGTCAACTATGTGGGAGTCCAGCAACATAGCCATTATGCTAACTGCTGGTCCCTGTTCATTTTATTTTTTTAAGAGAGATTTTTTGTTATAGGGTGCATGCAATGGTGAGAGAGACAGATACAGAAAGTAAGAAATCACCCCCCCCCCCAAGGGGGATGGCCACACTGCAATCCCTTCTCCTCCATTCTCCTCTTGGGATTTTTGGCATACAAGCATATGCACCTGACATGAGTTTCAAGTCGCCAGATCCAGGACTTGAACTACAGTTGGCCATAGGGGAGTCCAGCACCTTAACCACAACGCCACCTGCTAACCCCATTAATATGTATTTTTGAATTGCTTGCCAAAAGAACTTTAGCAGTTTTCACCGCAACCCACAAAGCATGTTCTAGTTTCATACCGCACAATGCATATACTCTTGATCCTATTCTAAGTTCTGCACTTCTAGTTACCTCTTTGGAATACCTGCTATTTATTCATATTTTTTTATGTGCTTCCTACCTGTCAGACACTTCCCTAAGCAAAGAAAGTCAGGAAGCTGCCTAGCAAAAGGAAGAACTTGTTCACAGGTAGTGAGTACAGAGTAAGCCACATCCGGCATTCGACTTCATATCAAGAGCAATAGGACACTGGGGAAGGGTTAGAGCCATGGGCTGAGAACAGGCAGAACTTGAATTCTGGAACTGTCCCTTGGGATGCAGCACAGTGGCTGGGCCAGGGCAGACAGGGGAGAGCATCTCAGCAGCCGGGTGTAGCCACAATCCTGAATTATCCTGGATGGTGGCAGCAAAGGTAGAGGCATCTGGCAGGCAGAATGGACAGGTCCTGGTGCGGTGGAGGCTGCAGCTCAGGGAAAAGGAGGTTTCTAACATGGGCAGCTAATGGATGAGGGAGAATGGGAAAACGAGGAGATTCAGGGGCAGGGGGAGTGAGAGGTTTCTCTCTCCGTTCGTTCTTTCTTGTGCTATTGTTTTCGGTTGATCTAGACACATTTTAATTGTGCAAAACTCACCACAACTTGAGCCAACTTAGAGAAACTCTGATTTAGGCCAAGCGTGGACACCTGTGAAGTAGTCAATATTTACCTTGGGCTCGGAGCTTGGCCAGCTCCTCACTGAGCGAGTCCTGGGACTCTTCCAGCTGCCTCCTCTTCTGCTCCATGTTCTGCATGTAGTCTGTCAGAGATTTGATCTTGGCCTCATGCTGGAAACCGGAAATAGGTTGCAGGGAAGAACGAATGACTAGCAAGCCATCACACGGGCCACCTGCGACTGTCCAGTGGGGAAATGCAACAGTAGAGGCGCTCTCCAGTCCCTTTCCTGGTGCCCACGGCACGTAGTACACATTCCGCCCTCCACTAGGCCCTCGGAATTGTGCACCCACAGCCCTCCGCTCCTCCGAGTGCTCCTCGCCTCATCCCCTAACGCACTGCTCAGGGCCACGGCGCCCCTCGCTACCCACCTACTCTGAGAGTCCAAAACTCATGTGGTTGTGCAGAGAGAGGGGCAGGGCAATGCCCAGGGCTGAACAGGCACCTCTGGACTCTATCTTCAGAACTCAGATGGTGTGTATGTTCTTTTCCATTCCTCAGACACACCAGATCCGGTCTCAGGGACTCTGCACTTCATGTTTCGCTCTCTGGGACCCTTCCCCTCCATGCTCCCCCCCACTCCCCACTACTATGACCTGTTTAGGTCCTTATCACTCAGGCCCCAGCATTTTCTTACAGTGTATAACTTCTACATGGTTTATCCTAACTAGTTTGTTACTTGTTAGCACCAAGAGAGCCCAGAGAAGGTGCTTAGTACACACTAGTTCAACAAATGAACAGAGGGGAGCTCACTGGCTAAACAGGAACAGCAGAGACGTCTAGGTGGGTGGAGACATGCAGAACACCCCACCCCCAGACCTGGGAGCTCACATTTGGGCAGGAAGACCCAGGAGACTGCGCTCTAAAGAACTTTCCCAGGAAATGTGGCTCAGCTGGGCCAGTCGCTTAATAACTGATGCTTTCGGTGAAGAAAGTGAATATAAACAAAGAAGATGACATTTTAGCTGGAGATAGTTTGACGGATTCCTTTGATCATGTCAGAAAACAAAGAGCCAAGATTTCAGTTACTTTCAGAACCCAGGAAATAATGACCGAATCTCTGGCTTTATGTGTCTTGTGGCAGAGGACAAGCGGAAGACTGCTTGCTGCTAAAACAGGAGGAACCTTCTAACAGATACTCTTTAACCCCAGACCATCCTAGCATGCTCAACTCTGCCCTCAGATACCAATGTCACTGTCCCTCTGAGATCTGGATCAGGGGGCCTTTGCCCTATCTTGGACCCCACACTCTGGAGGATTCCACTGGGGCCCTCCTCTGGCTGCAAGAGAGAGAGAGAGTTCAGAGACCATGAGAGACTACCCACCTGACCCACATCCCCTCTGGACTCCATTCTAAACGGGAGACTCAGAAACTCCCTACTCCGGAGGCTCTAGGCCACATGAGGCCTGGCACTGCCTCTTCCTCTTCCATGTACATCACAGCTGACACAGTTTTATCACCTTCCCTGGCTCACCGAGGATGCGGAAAGGACTCGCATGTGGAGCTGCTATGTCCAGTTAGAGAAAGACATCGTGCTGCAGGGTCCTGGGCCTCCGTTTACACTCTGCCTTGGCCCTCAAATGTGATGCCAGTATCCCAAGTGAGCCAGAGAGCACGTTTTCGTCGTACTGTCCCCTAATGGTTAACTTTCCCTCAGTGTCCACTAATGATAAAAATGTCAACTATGTCTATAATTACACAATTTACGGGGCCAGCCATTGGCACGTTGGTTCAGAAAGCGGGGTCCCACATGGCTGACTACTCAGCTCGAGTCCCAGACCTAGTGGCGTGAGAAACACACCAGGTGCATGTGTGTGTGTGCCCAAAATCCCAAAGGGAAGGAGAAGTAAAGCAAAAGGGCTTGTGATGTGACCGTGCTCCACAGGAGGTGCTTTTGCACTTTTCCTCTCTCTGTCTCTCTCCAGTGAAGGCATGTACCTTCTGGCAAACTTAAAAATAAATGACAGATTATAGAGCTGTAAATCCAGAAAAAGTGCTATAAATTTCACCCCTACACCACTCTAATGTATCAGCTATTTCCCCGTCACATTCCGGGTCTTATCTGTGGGAGCGCATGTTGTATAGAGCTCCAGAGCATGGCAGAGACATAACTCAGCATTTCATTTTCGTTTTTACTTAACTTCATATAATTACTTTCCAAATGGCTAGGTTTTATAGATCTTTTATAAGAGCTGCATAATATTCTTCCATGCAACCTTATGTTATTAATCTATCAATGGGTATTTGGGTAATTTACTTTTTTATAATGTAAAGTAACACTACTCACTTGGTGTATAAGCTTTTAATACTTTTAATCAGGAAATGATACTGTCATACGAAATGAATTTTTTTCCATTTTCATTATCAATGAAAAAATATAGCAAGTGAAATTACTGGACCAAAATAGACTTGCAATTTTATGTCTCTGATTTCTAAGGTGATTTCCATAGGACTGACCAAATTATACTTTTATCAACAATAGATGAGTATATCAATTTCACTATCACAAATCAGGATTGAGTAATCTCTTAAATAGATTTTTGCTCATTATGTTAGCTATAAAATGGAACCTTGTAGATCCATTTTAGACAAGGAGGTTGGAGATGTTTTTGTGATTACATATTATGATGCTTAAAAGCACACCAGAATGAAGTATGCTTCTGTCTGCCTCTTGGTGTCATTTGACACACCAATTCATGATGGTATCTGTTGCCCCAAACAACTTCGACTGCTTTAAGGCCTGGCCTGAGGGGTTGAACAGTACACAACAAGGCAACCTCAAACCCAGTCAGCATACTCACACACGAGTGGCACTCCAGAAACTGGACAGCTGATTTCTGAAACTTCCTCACAAAACGAAGGTGGCATTCCAATGAGCCTTCGTCTCTGAGCACATGAAGCGTGTTTCTGACTTGAAAACCCATTGGAAACACAAGCTCTGGCGTCACACACGTTTTGTGGTTTATTCCAGCTCTACTATTCATGGGCTGTATATATTAAAATAATATAAGGGAATGGCAAAAAAAAATGTGGCAAAATGGATTTAAAATACACGCTTAATTTAGTGCCAAAAATTTTGAAATTCACATGTAGTTTGTTCATAACATGCATTCTCCATGAATTTATATTTACTCTCAGTCTCAGTTTCCTCATCTGAAAAAGAACAATACTAAAATCTGCCTATCAGAATTTTTTTAACTATTTTATTTATTTTTATTTATTTATTTTAATGTTACCAGAGAGGGACAAAGTGAGAGAGAGCGAGAGAGAGGGAAAGTGAGAAAGCAAGCCACCAGGTCCAGGACTCAAACCACAGTCAGCCATGTGGGAGTTCAGCGCCCTTAACCACCACGCCGCCTGCCAGTCCCTCAGAATTTTTTGAAGATCAAGTGAGAAAACACATATAATGGACTTAGCACAGTGTTTGGCCCATAGTAAACTCTCAATAAAATGGTACCTGCTATTTCTCTAGTAGCAGTAGTTTCCCTTTTCCACAGGAAGTGGGACCGTGGTAGAGATGAAAAGATGAATGAAATGCTGCCCTAGCTAATAGGAGTTTTAGAGATCCCAGCCCCTTCTGCCCATTCATGATCTATCCACCATAGGTAGATACATAGATGGAGCCTTTCAAAAAGAGAAGTCACTCAAAGGAATTCAAGGGACTCACACAGAAAAATCTAGCCCCAGGCCTAACTCTGGGTAGTCACTGCCTGAAGAGGCCATGCTCGTGTGGGGCAAAGCCCATCAACCATGCCCGTCACATACCATCAGCACCGGCAAGGACACGGAGGCGGGGGGGGCGGCCCACCTGGGAGATGAGCAGCTGGCACGCTGCCAGCTCCCGCTCGCTGGCGTTCATCTTCCTGTTGGAGTCCATCTGGGCACTCTCAAGCTGTTTGCTGCGGTTCACCAGGGACTTGACCTCTGACTTCATCTTGCTGATGTACAGGCGGGCCATGGTGAACTCCTCTTCAATGACTCCATTCACGTCTGCCAACTGAGCACAGGAAGGAACACTCTCAGATGCTGCCTGGAATTTCCAGATGTTCATGGATCCCCCAGAACCCGTCCGTGAATTTCTGCTTAGGAATCCGTAAGCACAGGGTGAGTTGAAAATGGTCTCTAAACAATGCCATACGGTCAAGCCTAAGTTCTCTGAAACTTCAGGTAAAACCTTCCATGGAAAACCTGCATTAAATGGCGACCCAGTAGCCTAGTGGTTAAGAGAACCAAATCCCACCTGGCTGACCACAGCTCAAATCCTGGCCCTGACAACTTGAAAAACAGACCGTGTGTGTGTGTGTGTGTGTGTGTGTGTGTGTGTGTACGCACATGCATGTGTGTGCCCCAAATCCTCAGGGGATCGAGAAATGAAGAAGTGACTGCCGTGTGACCATGTCCCAATGGGAGGTGCCTTCTCTTTCTCTGTTTCTCCATATCTCTCTGGTGAGCACACACACCGTCTTTGACAATTAAAACAAAAACAAAACAAAACAAAACAGAAAGGAAGAAAAAAGAAAATCCCTATTAAATATAATCCTCAATTAACCAGGTTTTCTCATTACAGTTGATGTTTAGGATAAAAGAGCTAACATTAGAAGGAAAAAACATCGGAGACTATTGAAAAGCTGAAAACTTTGAAGAGGTATTCCATTCCATCCAATGTCTTATACTTCCCATCTCTGCAACAGCAGCAAGGCCCAGTGTTCCCAAAGGTCACCTGAAACTATAAAAACGCACATAAAAATTCCAATTATGTTCTCCATAGTCTGTTAATTCAGGTAGCACAGCAGTCTAACGTACTGAGTATGTTTCTATAAAGCAAGGATTGAAATACAACGGAATTTCTACATGGTTCTCAATTAAAGAGACAGTCTAATGAGTAAGAATGTACCCTTCATTCCCAAAGGCCCCCAGGAACGTCTCTGTGCGTGAGTTTTCATTACTACTAGTCCTCTTTGTCTTTTCAAGACTGCCCCTTCTAAGCACAGAGCAATCAAGCTCGTTTTTTTAGAGCCGAGAACAACAGTCTAAGCCCGCCTTCAGAAGAAGAGATTCTGACAGTCAGCTTCCTGCAAGACCTATACTGGGCCTGGCGTTTTAGAGCTCTATTGGAAACACAGACTGAAGCAAGACTCAGGACAGAAACCCATCCGCTGAAATGCAAACACGTCTGGAAGGGCAATCAACCAAATAAACAAGTAAGGGTGTGTGTATTCTGTTGAACCACCAGAGGGCAGCCGAGCACCTCAGGAGAACACCCAGAGCTCTGTCCAAAGTCCCGCCCAACACAGGCTTCCGCTAAGACAACTCCGGGCGTTCCACAGGACCCTCAACTACCCACTTCTGTCATTATCGCTGTCGTGAACTCTTATAACTACTTTAAAAGTCAACGTTTTGAGAGCTGGGAAAATGGAACCAGTGTCACCTCTGAAAATTGGTAGCAAATACAAGTACGTGGGACAGTGCTGAGTGCCTGTCCCTTGCACTGCCCTTCCGTAAGAATTCAACGGCAGTATTTGTTAAACTATGCCAATGCCAACCAGCACAAAGCAGACGCTGTTAACAGCAAGAACATCTTCGTGTATTAATTCCTGACTCAACCTTAACAGAGGCGCTTCTAAATCGTATTTCCAACTGCCAGCAATGGGCCTACCAACACTACCCCTCACCACACCCCTTCTACAACCCAACAGCAAAGAAAAGTGTGCCATCTTCCAGTTCAGCTTGGCTCATCTGCCTTTGCTATTGGTCCAGCGTAGAAGAGGGATGAGAAACACCTTCCTAACCCTGACCAGGTATTTCCCATATATCATCCAATTTCTGCAGAAAGATGAGGGAATATCCACTTCCTCACACGGAATTCGGTCTACACCAGCTCCGGGTGGGAAGATGTTGCTGAACATCAGCTCGGGCACCGTGGGGAGAGAGCAAACCCCTCTTCTTCACCAGGTCTATACTTAAGTAGGTCACTGTCTTCAGTCCCCAGAACCGATGTGAGGTGAAGAAGAGTCAATACGTATACACAACAATGGGTTTTCTTGAAAGGAAGAAGTTGGACATTTCTCCCCCAGAACTAGAACCATATTCCACAACCTTCTCTGGTCCTACGAGGTCCAAAAGATTTTAAAGCCCATACCTGACTGGGGGGAAAAATACCCCAAACAAATGGTTTTTACCAGTGAGGATTTACATGGCGGGTTCAAAAATTTAGGAGTCTCATGTTGAAAGGGTCCTAGTAATTCTGGTACCTGTTATTTAAAAGAAGATAACCAGCAGCAGCAGAGTATCTGCGACTGGATGTTATTCGGGACTCTCCCAGGGCCTGACAACGCACCCCGCCCAGCAGTCCTCGTTAGACCACACGACCCAGTGCAAGGGCCAGTCGGGAGAGACCGCACCACCTGTGATGGAAAGATGCTGTGGTCTTCACACCTGCCTCTGGGAGGAGTCACCCCAGGCCACCCTCATTCCCTCGGGCTCAGTGTGTTGCTCAGGCTGGAACTATTGCCATTTCTAGACAAAGTAAAAGATGAGGAAGGTAAACGTTCACTTTCTAAGGCTGAACGGTCAAAATGGGGTGTGAAAGAAATCAGTGTGTGTGTTGGGACCAGTAGTTGGAGTAATGGCTATGTCGCTGGACTCCCATGTAGTTGACAGCAGTTCGAGTCCTGGACCCGGTAGCTTAACCTCACACTGTGCACGTGTGCGTGCGTGCCCAAGATCCCGAGAGGAGAATAGAGGAGAAGGAATTGTGGCGTGGCCATCCCTTCTGGGGGGTGATTTCTTGCTTCCTATCTTTCTCTCTCTGTCTTTCTGGTGAGTGCATGCACCCTATAGCAAAAATCTCTCCAAAAAAGAAAAAAAAAAGGAATCAGTGTGTTGGGGCCAGGAGGTAGATGGAGTAGTAGTTAAAGCACTGGACTCTTACCTGGCTGACTGTGGTTTGTGTCCCAGACCTCGTGGCTTGAATATCATGCCAGGTGCATGTGTATGCATGCCCAAAATCCTGGAGGCGGATGGAGAAGGGATTGCAGCATGATCATCCCCCCCCCCCCCCCACGCCCGGGGGGTTTCCCCCCCCGCCGGCCAGGTGATTTCTCACTTTCTGTCTCTCTTTCTCTCTCTCTAATGAGTGCATGCACCCTATGGCAAAAACCTCTGAAAAAAAGTGATTGATAGAGAGAGGAAGAAAGAAAGGAAGAAAGGAAGGAAGGAAGGAAGGAAGGAAAGAAGGAAGGAAGGAATGGAGAGAGAGAGAGAAAGAAAGAGAAATCAGTGGGTCTGAAGAAGATCAGGCAGCCAATCCATTTAACTTACTGTGACTGAACTTTCTATCCCAGTTGTGGCTAGATCCCTGGAGAGCTCTAAGATATGCCCAATGACACAAGGACATTGAAGGAAGAGAAAGGTTGCTAATAAGTGGCAGAAAACGGAGTACTCTGTGCTAAAAACAATCACTGACCTCATCCTGTTTGTTTTGTTTTGTTTCATTTTTTAAAGTTTATTTTCTTTCATGAAAGAGAGCATCTTGACAGTCTTCACATACACGTGCATGCACACATACATACACACACACACACACACATACAGCCTGCCCAGCCTCCCTGGGTAACCAGGCCAGACAGGATCATGGGACATGGACGTGCCCAGCATGTTCAGTTCAACCCAGGGTTCGAACTGGTGCCCTCCTGTATGGCTCCAGCACTGCGCAGCAGCACGCCCACCTGTCACACCACAGTGGGGCTGCATCTGGTTTTACTGACTAAAGAAAATAATACCAAGACTCTAGAAGTATTTCCAGATACCACATCGAGCTTAGAAAACAGGGGGTGTTCTGTTTCCTGGCTGTTCAGGTCTGTCATATTCTGGAAGTGAGGGCTGAAGGAGACTCCAGCAGCCATCTTTCCCCTACCCTCCCAGGGAACAAAGTAAGATTTTAGAAACGAAAATATAAGATCACTAAGAGAGGTCCCAGATCTGCTCATTTTACTGTACCAAAAGAATTACACTAACCAATACCAAAACCAATAAGAAAAACATCTGCGCCGACAATGGTTCATCTAAAGTCCTGTAGTTCGGGGCTGACAGCCTTTGTGATTATCTGGCCTCATCTTTTCATTTTACAAATTAGAAAAACGAAGTCCAAAGGACAGTGAGTTGCTCAAAGTCATATGACTCTTTCACTAGCTCTCATTACCCTAAAATTAAAACATAATACTAATAAAAAAAATGAAGACCTATCAGTGAGCATTATCAATGAAATTAGGTAGGGCATCCAATATTTAGAATCCAAAAATAAACTCAAAAACAACCAATGGAGTATTTAAAAATAATCTCAATCATACTCCAGACTCCCAAAGGTAAGGACTCTTTTTTTTTTTAAGGCGGAAGTACCCAGACACTGATTTCATTAGCATTTTCATCAGCTCTATTTTAGAACTTAGCATAAAAATACCTCCCTTGATCCTCCTCAGCAGCAGGCGCCAGCTTCCCATAAGCCAGCTCTACCTCCATACTGTGAGGCCATCTTATCACCCAGAGTCACCATTTTATTGCTCAACCCTCAAATATCAAATTACCAAACTGGAGCTTAACGGGATTAACCCTAGCATATCTGAGAATTCTGTGCCAAAAAGATTCATGCGAAAGGATCCATGAAACAGAGAAGAGGTCCCGTGAAAGCAACATCAAACGTTAAGAGGCCCCGTCCTCTAAGCCGAGGCCTGTGCCAGTACCCTGAAGGGCTTGCTAGACTTCCAGAGAAAGGTCCCGCAGTGGAAACCGTGGAAGCCTTTTCCAGTATTAACTATCCCTAAGCAGACTCATGTGGAATTCAGCCTCTTACGGGTAAAATGTCTAAAATCGGGGCCGGCAGGTGCCACGGTGGCTGAGGCACTGAATTCCCACATGGCTGACCATGGTTCAAGTCCCAGACCTGGCGGCTTGCTTTCTCGCTTTCTCTCTCTCTCACACTCCTTCTCTCTTTCTCTCCTGTTCTGTCTCTCTCTGGCGAGGGCATGTGACCTATAACAAATTAAAATACAACTACTAATAAATGGTTTTAAATGTTTAAAAACATTTAAAATAAGTAAACATTTAAATAAATGTTTTTAAATGTTTAAACTCAAAGAATTTAGTTTGAATATGGAAGATAGAAATTAAGCAATATAGTAATCACACCATTCTTTGGTTTGAGACAATCGATTGATACAAGGGATTATTTACTGGCTCCCATTAGGTCAGCCCTTATCTCTTAAAAACAAAAAGATTAAATCAATGAAACTGAACAGAAAGACCAGGAACATCCCCACACACTATTGGAGATAATAGACATGTTCATTATCTTAACATTAGTGATAATTCCATGAGTGTATAAACATGTCAAAACTTCTCAAAAAATATGTACACCTTAAACATGTGCAACTCACTTTATGTATCTTGAATTTTGATGAAGCTTATTTTGTTTTACTTTTTAAAAATTTTATTATCATTTTTAAATTTGACCAGAGAGATAGAGAGAAAGAAAGTGAGAAAGTAAGCTGCCAGGTCCAGGACTTGAACCATGTTTGACCATGTGGGAGTCCAGCACCTTAACCACCATGCCACCTGCCAGCTCTGCCCTTTTTTTTAAAGTTTTCTCCACAGGGCATGTGCATTCCCTGGACAGAGATGGAGAGAAACAGTGAGAGGGAAAGTGAGAAATCACCCCCCGCCAAGAGGTGATGGCCAAGCCACAGTCCCTTCTCCTCCATTCTCCTCTCAGAATTTTAGGCGTGCACACACATGTGCCTGGTGTGATTTTTAAGTTGCCAGGTCCAGGACTCAAACTGCGATCAGCCGTGTAGGAGTGATGTACCTTAAACATCACTCTACTTACTGGCCCAAGATAAACCTATTTTTCAAAATGTCTCTATTCTGCTTTTCCAATTAATGACATTGGTGGCCTTTCTATATTTGGTACATTGTCAATTGTTCTTGGCTGATAACAATTTTATTCTCTTCTCCTTCTATTACCAGTTTCTGAAAAACTTTATGACACTCCCATGTCTCCCTTCTTCTCTTATTTCCTTGCTATCAAGAGCACCACTATGTACAATCCCAGGGGATTAATCATAATTGGTTTAAGCCAGTTAAAATAATCCTATTTCCCTTTGCTTTCCCAGCTTTCCTTGCCATTTGAGATGGTCACATGATCCAGTTCTGGTCAATGAGGAATTAGGGTATGTCTACTGGAGACTTCCGGGATGTATTTTCTTCCTGATTGAAAACCGTTGACCTGTTCAGCCCATTCTGCCTTGGATGTTGTTAGAGTGAAATGTGATGGTCAGTGCTATAGCAGCCATCTTGCTACTATGAGGCAAAAATCCCAAGGATATGAAAAAGAAACAGGCTGAGGACAGAAAAAAGAAAATCAAGACAAAGCTGGGGCCCTTCACATTGTGGAGCCACTGCACCAAAACAAAATTTGCCTCTAAGCTTTAGTAGGCGTAGGAAACATCAGAAGACTCTTAGTAAAACACAGATTCTGATTCAGTAGGTCTGAGGTGAGACCTGAGGTCTATATATCCAATAAGCTCCCAGGTACTGCAGATCACTCCCTGAATAACAAGATTCTAGTCTTTTCACACTGCCAATAAGTAAATGTGGTTTTATTTATTTTCTTTTCTTTCTTCTTTTTTCCTCTCATAGGGTGTGTATATTCACTGGAGAGAAACAGAGAAAGACAGTGAGAGGGGAATTGAGAAACCACCCCCCAGGGGAGATGATAACATCACAATCCCTTTTCCTCCAGTCTCCTCTTGGAATTTTGAACATGCACATAAATGTGCCTGGCATGATTTTCACGCCACTGGGTCAGAACTTGAACAGCAGTCAACCATGTGGGAGTCCAGCACTGTAACCACCATGCCTCCTGCTGGCCCCAAGTGTGATTCTATTTCTTAGCCACTATTAGAATCTTACTATCTTCAGCTGAAAGTTTTCCTAATGCATACAGATTGTTTAGAGAATTTTCACTCCTTTGCATTCTTACAGAAAAGGAAAAGCATAATTTCTAGACTAAAAATGTTGCTTTAATGATCTAATTCCAAACTTTTGCAACATTGGCAAATAAGTCTGAGGAAAAAAGGAATAAACCAATTTTGCATAAAGCCAGTGAGGAGTTGAAGGCCTTCTCCATAATCGAAAAGCAGTAAACTTTTCTCTCCTCTTTCTCAGTGAATAACCCAAACTCAGTCATTCAATCAGTCTTGTTTAAGTCTGTTTTTTACCATAGGGTGTGTGTGCTCACCAGAGAGACAGTGAGAAATAACCCCCTGAAGGGATGGCGACACTGCAATCCCTTATCTTCCACTCTCCTGCTGGGATTTTGTGCACATAGGCACACATGCCCCGCCTGATTTTTTTTTTTTTTTTAGAAAGTCCTTTTTGCTATAGAGTGCATATACTTTCCAGACAGAGGGAGATAGAGAGACAGAAAGCAAGAAATCACATCACCAGGAGGGATGGCCATGCCATAATCCCTTCTCCAACATTTTCCTCTCGGGATTTTGGGCTCACATGAACACATACCCGGCATGAGTTTTAAACCGCCAGGTCTGGCACTTGTGCCGTGGCCAACTACATGGGAGTTCAGCACCATAACTGCTATGACATCTTCTGGTCTTCCCAGTATAATTTTTAAGCCGCTGGGTTCAGGACTCAAACCATAGTCAGTCATGTGGGCCTCTAACACTGTAACCACCATGCCACCTGCTAGCCCAGTCCTTGTATTTTTTTCCTTAATTCATTGAAATATTACTCAACATGTGACAAATGCAAAGCACAGCGATAAACAATGGATACTTAAAACCATAAAACACAGACCCTGCTAACTTAGAATCCTATCAGGAGAAGAGCGAGTAGAGAGGATAAAAGAAGGGTTGGCTTACGGTCTTCACGTCGTTGGTGCCAATGATTCCGCCTATCTCCCCCAGATCCTTCAACAGCAAGTTCAGGATCTCCGTCGCCCTCTTTTTCTGGTGATTGCTAAGCTCTTGTAGCTGGTTCAGCTCTCTCTGTGTGGTTGTCAATGTAGTCTGAAAAACAAATTTCAACAGCAAATTAAAAGGGCTTCCCCTCTATTTCATATGAAGGGACTACAAAAAGTGTGTGGAAAAGGGGAATTAAGGCACAATTTCATTGTAGTGTGGAAAATAAACTTCAATCTAAGAAGATTCTAGTCTTTTCACACTGCCAATAAGTAAATGTGGTTTTATTTATTTTCTTTTCTTTCTTCTTTTTTCCTCTCATAGGGTGTGTATATTCACTGGAGAGAAACAGAGAAAGACAGTGAGAGGGGAATTGAGAAACCACCCCCCAGGGGAGATGATAACATCACAATCCCTTTTCCTCCAGTCTCCTCTTGGAATTTTGAACATGCACATAAATGTGCCTGGCATGATTTTCACGCCACTGGGTCAGAACTTGAACAGCAGCCATGCCTCCTCCTGGCCCCAAGTGTGATTCTATTTCTTAGACACTATTAGAATCTTACTATCTTCAGCTGAAAGTTTTCCTAATGCATACAGATTGTTTAGAGAATTTTCACTCCTTTGCATTCTTACAGAAAAGGAAAAGCATAATTTCTAGACTAAAAATGTTGCTTTAATGATCTAATTCCAAACTTTTGCAACATTGGCAAATAAGTCTGAGGAAAAAAGGAATAAACCAATTTTGCATAAAGCCAGTGAGGAGTTGAAGGCCTTCTCCATAATCGAAAAGCAGTAAACTTTTCTCTCCTCTTTCTCAGTGAATAACCCAAACTCAGTCATTCAATCAGTCTTGTTTAAGTCTGTTTTTTACCATAGGGTGTGTGTGCTCACCAGCCCTGAAGGGATGGCGACACTGCAATCCCTTATCTTCCACTCTCCTGCTGGGATTTTGTGCACATAGGCACACATGCCCCGCCTGATTTTTTTTTTTTTTTTTTTAGAAAGTCCTTTTTGCTATAGAGTGCATATACTTTCCAGACAGAGGGAGATAGAGAGACAGAAAGCAAGAAATCACCCCTCCAGGAGGGATGGCCATGCCATAATCCCTTCTCCAACATTTTCCTCTCGGGATTTTGGGCTCACATGAACACATACCCGGCATGAGTTTTAAACCGCCAGGTCTGGCACTTGTGCCGTGGCCAACTACATGGGAGTTCAGCACCATAACTGCTATGACATCTTCTGGTCTTCCCAGCATAATTTTTAAGCCGCTGGGTTAAGGACTCAAACCATAGTCAGTCATGTGGGTCTCTAACACTGTAACCACCATGCCACCTGCTAGCCCAGTCCTTGTATTTTTTTTCCTTAATTCATTGAAATATTACTCAACATGTGACAAATGCAAAGCACAGCGATAAACAATGGATACTTAAAACCATAAAACACAGACCCTGCTAACTTAGAATCCTATCAGGAGAAGAGCGAGTAGAGAGGATAAAAGAAGGGTTGGCTTACGGTCTTCACGTCGTTGGTGCCAATGATTCCGCCTATCTCCCCCAGATCCTTCAACAGCAAGTTCAGGATCTCCGTCGCCCTCTTTTTCTGGTGATTGCTAAGCTCTTGTAGCTGGTTCAGCTCTCTCTGTGTGGTTGTCAATGTAGTCTGAAAAACAAATTTCAACAGCAAATTAAAAGGGCTTCCCCTCTATTTCATATGAAGGGACTACAAAAAGTGTGTGGAAAAGGGGAATTAAGGCACAATTTCATTGTAGTGTGGAAAATAAACTTCAATCTAAGCACTGTGTTTTCATAAGACACATTTCCATGAACTTTTTGAAGATGCCCTCATAGGCCCCACCTTACGAAGACTAATGGCGCCACCCAGGAATGGAGTTCTTTCATCAGTTCTCATGATCTCCCACACGAGAGTCCTTTGATGGCCATCTACAGTGCTGACTGCATTCTTTGACAAGAAGAACTTCACATGAACACGTTCTAGCATGTGGCCTGACATGTTGTATGTCTACATACTACGTGACAATTTCTAGGTCAGTGAAGTAAGTTATTAAAAATAAATAAAGTTTACAGCATTTCATCAAATTTTCTGCCTAAAGAAGAGGAAGGATATTGGCTGGTGGAAAAGACAGTAACAGCAGTAATGGAATTTTCTCTTCAAGCTAGGACTATCTGTAGTTCTGATTTGTTTGAAATAACACACAAACATTGCTGAAAATGTAAAGGGGCACATCCATAAAGGAACCACTCCAAATGGAGTGACTGAACATGTTTTCTTTCTTTCCATTTTTCAAATTAAGTAGAACTATGTTGCATATATATAATAGCTTCAGACACATTTCTTAAACTAGATGCTAAGATAAGAGAAGTGAAATGTATAGGACAGGTTTGGGATTTTATCTCAGAGCTGGACAATATATATGTATATTAGATAAAGTTTCCTTGGTTAACTAATGTTTCAGTCCACCCTGTTCTAGTTCAGAGAAAACATGTCTGCAAATGTCCCCACCTCTACTTCTAAACAAACCTCCTCCCTGGGCCACTTCCAAATTCCCACCTAACTTTATAACACTAGACAGGTGTGAAATAGATGCCCAGAGGAATATTAATGAGCTTAGAAGTCAGCAGAGGGAAGGCCAGTGGTGGTGTGGTTGAGGTGGCTGGATCCCACATGACCAATGCAGGATTCAAGTCCCAGACCCAGCAGTTTAAAAAACACACTGGGTGTGTGTACGTGTGTGTCCAAAATCCTGAAAGGTAAGCAAAATGAATGAGAAGGGATTGTGATGTGACAGTTTTCCATGGGAGGTGTTTTCTCTCTCTTTCTCCCTCTCCCTCTCTCTCTCTCTCTCTTTCTCTCTCTCTCTCTCTTTCTCTAGCAAATACATGTACTTCTTCTGGCAAAATAAAAAAAAAAAAAGAAAAGAAAAGAAAACAGCATATAGAGCTGGCCTTGTAATCTACTGGTTAAGGGAGTCACATCCGGCATGGCTGACTACATGGTTCAAATCCCAGTCTGGCAGCTTGAAAGAAAACATACCGGCATGTGTGTACATGACCAAAATCCCAACAGGGTTAAGAAGCAGAGGAAAGGGGCTGCAGAGAGACCACATCCCACTGGGAAGTGCTTCTTCCCTCTACTTCTCTGCTGAAAGCACATACTCTCTAGCAAAAAAAAAAAAAATTTAAAGGCCAGAAAGAAAACATCACAGAAAAAAATCTTCTAATCTTCAGAGTGAAGCTGAATTAAACGCAATTCATCTTTTCGCAAGTTAAATAATAGATGGCTTCTTAATATACACCAGATGTTCTATTTTTTCTTCAAGCTTTAACAAACTCATCTCTTTCCTATCCTTCTATGTTACCAAAAAGGTAGACATTCTTTTTTTTTTGAGAGGTTTTTGCTATAGAGTGCGTGCGCTTGCCAGACAGACAGAGAGAGACAGAGAGACAGAAAGTGAGAAATCACCCCCCAGGGGGGATGGTCACGCTGCAATCCCTTCTCCTCCAATCTCCTCTCGGGATCTTGGGCACGCACACACATGCGCTCGGAGTGAGTTTAAGCCACCGGGTCCGGGACGCGAACCGCGGTTGACTACGTGGGAGTCCAGCAACATAGCCATTACGCTAACTGCTGGTCCCAAGGTAGACATTCTTAACTAACTCTCAACTTTAGCAAAATATCTGTCTTTAGTGCCAATGAAGAAATCATCCCCCACTCCTAAGGCTATGAGGTCGAGCTAGAGGAACTTACATCATTCTTTCACAAGCAGCTACGGTGTCAGTGGAAGTCATGATGCATGTGTCCACAGAAAAACAGAAAAATATATCATGACTTCTCTGACAACCTAAGAGGTTATTTTTACTAAAGCACTTTGAATTATCTGGCTAAACACAGTACTCTAAACCATTCTAACTAAACTTTGGTTTGACAGAAAATATTATTATAGGAAATGTTCCATTATTCTCAGAAGCAAAATAACCAAGGACTTGTTATAAGAACCCCGTGCAAGACAGTAAGCAAAGAAAATGTCAGTCTCCTCCTCTTCGAAGTGCCTTCTGAATGGGTTTGTTTGGTTTGGTTTGGTCTGGCATTGCCAACTGCTTATTTCATCTTGTTTCTAAAATCCGCAGAAGCACAGTGCCCGTGTTGGGAAGCCATTGGAAAAGTCACTCCTCCCTGCAGTCGAATGCATGGGGCGAGCAGCCTTCCCCATCAGCCCCACGCGCGGCAGATTAGCACTTCCCTGACCATCTGTTCCTCCTCCTTGCCCAGGAGGACTGGATGTTTTCCACACAGCAGGCTGGGCACAGTCCCACGATCCTGGCCATCGTGCAGAGATGCCAAGGGCAGCAGGTTACAGCCACTCAGCTTCCCCAGCACCCATTTCCAAGAGGAAAAGGACACATCTCAGCAGCAGCCACCTTGGCAGGCGCTCCCAGCCCTGCTGCCACTCGCTCACGGTGCTGAACCTGCAGCACCCTCACAGGGAGAAGCTGAGCAGTGAGAAACGTGCAGGCTGACACGCTAGCTTCAACCAGGACAGCAAACAAACAGGGGCCACGTAGTCCCAGACTCCTGGTGGTGCCAGGTAAGGTAAGCTGAGGGGAGGGGATAGACTGCACTCGGAGGGTGTGAAACAAGAAGGGTAAAGCGCACGCCTTCCACATACATGTCCCCCTCCCTCACCTGCCAGTAGATTCCTGTATTGATATGGCAGGATATGGGCGGTCCCTGCCAAGTACTTTAATCTGTCACTCATCCTCACGCCAGGCAAGGAGAACGTTACTATTGCTACTTTTTACAGATAAGGGAATGAATACTCAAGCAGTTTAAGTGTCTCAACCAAGGCCTAAGGGCTGTGAAGTTCCATGTGAACTAGGATTTCCCTGGCTCCAACATCTGCACTCTCTTGACTTTTCCCACAGGCATCCCTGCTAACATTATAAACTCCCTGACTATAAAAGCTGTGGCAGGCATTCCCAGGAGAAGTAGACAAAAGCCACTTCTGTAAAACATTTCAGGTGTTAGAGGAACCTCAGAGAATGCACCCGACACTGAATAGGCCAACTGCCTTCCTACACGGCGTCTATCGACAGACACCAGTGTAAGCACAGGAATGGCAGCAGGGGAGTCCCACCCCTGGCCACAAAGGCTCGAACCGTTTTCTGGGCCAGCTCATCTGTCAGCTGCTCGTTGGCCCTGGTCTTGTCCTCCACTTCTTGTGACTTCTGGTCGTAATTGACTGCCAGCTCCTCCAGGGCCTGGAGGACTTCTTTCACCTCGTCTTTGGCTGCCTCGTTTTCAATCTGGAGTCGGGTCAGCTCCTCTTGTATCTTCTCATAGTCTCTTCTTGTGGAAGCTAAAAGCTGAGGAAACGAGACGGCAGGGAACTGGTGAATGTCATGTTGGAAAGTTTACGTTCTATGCTCTGCCTAAAATAAAGGGGTTTAAAAAACAGGTAAGAGACAAGCTGGGAAAGATCAGGATGATGGGAAACCCCACCATAAGGTCCAGACGTGAAAAAGAGAGAGAATGAGAGAGAAGGGAAGGAGAGAGGGAAGGTAACTTAGAAAATCTGTTTCTTCTTTTTTTTAGTGTAAAGCTACATCCAGGCGAAGCTGAAAGAATGAATTAGTGAGTTTGCATAGAAAAAATAGAATAGGTCATCAAGAAAGTCATGATATATTCTTCTATGCAAAAATGTGTCAGGACTCCCAAAACCCTGAGAGAAGAATGGAGGAGAAGAGATTGCAGCATGGCCATTCCCCCTGGGGGTGGTTTCTTACTTTCTCTCTCTCTCTGTCTCTGTCTCTGTGTCTCAGGAGAGCGCATGTTCCCTACAGCAAAAATGTGTCTTAAAAAAAAAAGCAACATGACTTCCCCGATAAGCCAATAGAAAAAAAAAATACTTCATGACTTTTCTGACAATCCAATACATTTCAAAAACCGTTACATTTTGTAACTGGTTGGATATTCTACATGTTTAACAAAGAATGGGGCAATCACTTCCAAGGACTACAATAATAACAGCAGTAATGTATGGGAAGGTCCCCTTTTTAAACCCAGGCACGACCCTAATACTCCAGTGTAGACCCATGATGTGGAGCTGCCTGGAGCTGCCCGAAGGCTGCGCGTGAATCCCAACCACAGAACCCAGCTAGGACTGCGCTTTCTCTCAATCTCTCTCACTCATGGAAGAAATAAACGAAGTAACCGTTAAAAGATAATAGTACTTGCACAGCATAGTAGGACTTGTATAGTATGATAAATCTTGATTTCAGAGTCGACCAGAGCAGTATAAAAACGCAGTCAGTCACTTTTTCTTAACATTCCTCGTGACTGTATGGAAGGATATACCCCAAACACTGAAAGTGAATGCTTGACACTGGATGTTTGCGGTTTCTCTGCTCCTATTGTGTTTTCTGGATAGGTATCACCTTGATAGTACAAAAAAAAAAACATGTTAAAGAGTTTCTAACAAGAGGAAAGTTGATCACCGAGAGCTGGTACGACACTGAGGATGCAGAGGAGTGGAACGGGAGGAAGGGGGCAGGAAGCACTGCAAATGGAGGACCTCAACCATGGGACGGTGGAAATGGCAAGGTTCACCCAGCTACCAGACACAATGACCTCCCGACCCCAGGAAGTCTTTGGGCAGGGGCATAATCACTGCCCTGAAGACATGAAGGGGAACAAAGAGGAAGCGGACGACAATGGTTACTGAGACAGTTACGGCTATGGAGGGACCAGGGACTTGAACCCGAGCCACCAGCCATCATAGCTTCCTGTGATCCAAATCCACAGCATTTTAGCAATGAAGAAAAGCACCTTAAAACACAAAGAGAAAAAATACTAAGATGGTCCTCAACAGAGAACTGTTGGCTTGTCAAAAAAGTCATGATGTATTTTTTTCTGTTTTTCTATGGAAAAAATGAGTCATGACTTTTCCAACGATCAAATACTAATTCTCTAGGTTTGATAAACTGGCTGCCTATCCTTTTCTTAGGTCCATGTTTGCAAAATACTTGGAGAAAACGATGGAATAAAGACATTTACCGGAAGACTGAATGCCACCGGGGAGACTGAACACCACCCCTCTCCTTTTCCGTGTATCAGAAGGATGCTAGTGCAGCACTCGGGCCCTCTCCTCCTTGCCTTCTCTCCCTCTGCCTTGGTTCTGGTTTTGTTTTGTTCTGTTTTCCGCCACAGAACAGCAAAAGAACACGATCTATATCAAAGACTTAAGCTGACTGATTTGCCAAGCCAAAATAGGTTCAAAGCAGGAAACAGAAAAGCTGGGTATGAGACGGCAGAACCACCTCTGTGCACCACCAAGGCAAGGGCTCTGTGCTTTCAAAACCCCAGGGCTCTATAGATTCAGCCATTTATTTTCTAACAAAGGGAAAATTCTAGACAATTATCTTTAAGATCAGTTAAAATCCATTTATTTCTTCCATGAGAGAGAGGAACCTCCCCCCCCACACACACACACACAGAGTCTTCACACAGCGGCCCAGCCCCAGCCTCAGCCAGCCTGGACCATGGGCACACACACATGCACCTACAGGACACCAAGGGCCCAAACCAGGGCCCTCCCTACGTGGGGACAGTGTCACCGAGCACTGTATTGCCACTGTGCCACCAGCTGACCCTAAAACTGGTTTGTAGCAGGTATCAGAAGGAAATCTACCAACAAATTTCCACGTGAGTCAATGATTTTGAAGATAATTCTTTGCAAACTAAATGTCTGGAACAAATAACAACAGAGAGTAATAAAAGAACTTTGTAAAAATAATAATAATACATTGCATTCTTTTACCTCATCCTGATCCAACATCTGTTGCTTTAGCTTCTCAGCCAGCTGGCTCTGCTGGTTAATTTCATCATCCTGAAATAAAACATCATGTTTAATTTTTTTTTGGTTACTTAATGTCATTTTTTGATAACCCGATTTCCTGACAACTGGATCTAAGGATGCTAGCCATAAGGTAGGCTAATAAGCTGGAGGGGCTGGAGTGGCGGTATTCCTTCGCTGGAGAGAATGGTTCTGAGATCGTGATTTAAAATGCCTCTTCCTCCACCTTTCTCAGCAGACGAAACATCTGATATTCCGGGAAATAGAATACCCTACGTATCCAACCTAATTCCTATGCATCTAGAAATCAGAGATCTAGAACTTCAGGACTGAAAAAGACAATGGAGATACCCTTCCTAATTCAAAGAGTTAACAGTGAGTTTCCTAATTCAAACAATAAGGCAGTGAATGGCCATCCATCTTCACCATCCTAGACTCATGTCCCAAATCTTGTCAAACACATCAGTGACCAGAAAGGCCACATGATAGATAGAAGAGAGCCGCATCTCCACTACAAACCTTTCACTTAGACAGGAACATTTACCACAGAATTCATCTTTGGTCTCAGCAAACTTCCCTCTTGATTCGAAGTTATTTTTCTTACCAGTTTAATTAAATAAATAAATAAATAAATAAAAAACTCAAGGCAGGTAGGAGTGCTGAAGTATTAATTTGCTTTCTGGGCTTCACTGAAATGGGAGAGATGAATTCATGGTCTCACTCTCAACTTCCGCCACTAGGAGTTGCTACCACACAAACAAGGGTGCTCACTGCCTGCCCCTCGCTGCTGCCTGCGGACACCCCAGCCCACCCCCGGAGCAGGTGCAGTCATGGCCACGCACTGCCAAACTCCGTAAGAGACTTGGCCTTCCCTGCAATAGTATTTTCCTGGATTCCGATACAATTTTAAGCATAGCCTGTGAAGAACAAAGACCTCGCTTCACAATCGCCTCTCCCTTAGAAACAGGAGAGAAGCCTATCTGATGACACTGTCAGGGTCTAGACCTCACACAGTCAGACGCAGTTTGGTGTTACTGGGGCCCCTTTGGTACTAGGTCCTGCCTAGGTGTTTTCATCAGCAAACCAGAAAAAAACTAAAACAAAACCAAAAAACACCTTTTCTACAGGTGAAGTAAGAGGAGTAAACTCAAAGGCCTGGCTCACAGAGATTCCACTTTCCATGAGAGAGCCCCAGCCTGTTTGGTGGTGTCCATGTACAAATCTGAATGAGGGGAACTCAGTGTCACAAACCATGTTTTCCACAGAGCAAGAACTGTCTGAAATCAATAGCTTGGGTTCTGTATGCCTTTTTCTTTTGTGCAGAACATCTTTTGGACTCAGTTCTCTATGAAGGAGACCCCGTTTTAACTGAAGTTTTCACACCAATTTTTCTATAATGGTTCTACAAAATACTCATGCCTTGTCTCTCCATATCAGATTTCTGGCAGAGGAATGAGGGAAATGTAAGAGCCTCACTTGCATCAAGCACCACACTCCACTGCTTTCACGGACATTCATAAACAACCTACCACTCAGATAAACGGCTGTCGCCATGAGCCACGACACGCAGAACAAGCCATGATGGACCAAACTGCTCACAACGATACAAACATACGGCCACAGTAAGACCCTTCTCAGAGAGGCACACTCCAGGGTCTCAGACAACTCAAGGCCATCCCACTCCTGCCATTGCTGTGGGTGAACCAGAGCACCTACTAGGGCAGAAGCAGCTCACCTCTCTGAGGCTGGAATCACTGAACTCTGCTCTGGGAATCGGGCTGGCCTTGGCATCCACATCGTCCCAAGGATGCTTGGCTGCAGACCTGTGCACATCGCTGGAGGATGTCCCGTGAAAGCCCTCCTCTCGGATGGTGGGCCCATTCCAGCGAGGCTTCTGTATGGACTCTCAGCCTAGAGCCCCTTCGTGGTGTTGGTGCAGGTGCTCGGCCTTGAGCAAGCTCCTCTCCCTGCCCCTCACCCTGCTATGCTTGCTTGTGTGTTAGGATGTCTGATGTGAGGAAAGCCTTGACATTATGGAAAGACACAAATCGAGTCATGGCCTAATTTCCTGCACTCTCGACAAGAAATTACACCAGAATGAAAACTCCAAAAAATGGCACTTCTACAACTAGGAGACAATTTTGTAGGACACATTTTCTCTTCTACTCTATCAACTTCACATGTCAGTTACCAGGAACAATTTTGTTCCTCAGTACATAAATATTAAACAACGTAACATAAAAGGCCCAAGGAGTTTAAACATCAGGGAGCCACCCTCTCTCCCTGAGACACATGAGCAACCACTACGAGCGACATAAATCACCAGAGACAAGAAAGGGTAACATGAGCTCTTTGTTCTTAGGCTGTACTCTGTTCAAAGTCTAGATACAGGCAGGTGACAAACTGGGAGAGTGATTTTTAAGGTACGGTGAGAAACTCAGGGTCCCTAACCCCATCGGGGAAGGATGAAAAACAAAGGTTACACTATGAAGGACATGGATCGCTTGCACCAGAGACATTTTCATAACTACATTTACCCTTTACTAAGACAACATCTCTAAAGAATTAGTGTGCTCTATTATAATTTGTTAAAACTTCTCAAAACTTTCAGAATAAAGTATGCTATGCAGTCGATCACTGTACATTCAAGTGCATCTCTTGGGATATGTCTAAGCATGCTCTTTCTCATGCCAGCTATAAATACGTTGCCCGTGGAGTTCAGGTTTCAAAGTATTTTCCAGAAAAGTTTTTGTCCTTGAATTTTCTAACACATAAAATAACGCTATGAAGACTGGTTAACCTAATTGCCACAGGTTGCTGGTAACGGGCCACCTTTATCTATAAAGATGTTTTAGTTGCCATGATAGCATAATAAGTAATCAATTCATACCTCTACTTAAACTTAATTCTGCTCGTAATCTCCAATAGCAGCAGTATTGGAGAGGTGACAAGCAGTAAGAGAGACAGTGCAATGCCAATTTGCTCTGGTTTTGACGCTGTTTCAGCCCACCTTGCTATCACCGCACCTTGGATACCACATATGCCGTGGTTTTGTCCTTAAGCAAACAGAACCCAAAAGGGAGAAAACCAAAAAGAAAGAAGGGAACTCATGTTTACTGAGCACCTGCTATCATATGGACTAAGCACATGTAATCACTACTGCAACCTTTTTCAGTAACAGATATGAGCCTTAAGTTACAGAAAAGAAAAGCATCTTGAGTGGGGTGGGACATCAGCCCAGACCCCAGCATTGCTGAGTCACAGGCCCGATTCCATGGTGCATGATCTTCCTTCACACAGCACTGCCTTAGGAAAGTGTCTGTCCCGACTCCTACAAGAACAACACTGAGGAACAGTGGAGGCAGCTGGGGAGGGGGGAAACACGCAGTCTTTCTCCCACCATACCTTAACAACATTCATTAGGGTGACAAGTCTCTCATTTAAAGGACCACAGCCAAAATGGGATGACCATTGGACTGGGAGTCGGAAGTTAAGTAGTCTCATTTCAGCTCTGCCAGCTATGGGTTATATAAACATGGATGAATCATGTAACTTTTTTTTCACCTATCCTGAGGTATTTTCAGGTCCACCATTCAATAAACTATGAAGACACTACATCCCAACTTACATATTCCCAAAGTATCAAACTACCTACATCAGAAGCATGGAAATATCTTCTAGAACCTTTGAGAAGAGGGCACATAACGATGACAGCTGATAAGATATACTCAAGCATCAGTCTACCAGCAGAATTACTAAGGACTACCACCATTTCCGGTGCCCTCTAAGGCTGGGACTTGTAGGTTCAATTCTCCCCCATGTCTCTCAGCATCACCCCATAATAGACGACACGTACTAACACCAACTGCACCAGTCATAAGGTTTTCATACCACATGCTAGAGGAAGATGACATAATGGAAAATGCTCTAGGCTGGTCATCAGGAGACAGACTTGAAAACCAGCTCTCCCCCTACCAACCGAATGCTATAAAATATGGCATTTTCTTTCTGAGCTCAGTCCCCATCACCATGTTTTAGAAGCTAGATTTTAGACTCTCCAAAGTCTCTCGTGGGTCAATGAAAGCTCCTCATGCCACCAAGGTAAATGATCCCAATACCAACCATGGCAGGCTTCTACTCACAGAGAACAGACTATAGAATCAGATTCTCACCAGCATCCAGGATTCTCTAGAGAATACCAAAAGTAAGTTCAACAACACTAAAATAGCACACAAAAATTGTAGCATGATCTAACCCTCTTGGCTATTTAAACAGTTCTGCAGAGTAATCAAGAAATTGCACATATTATCATTGACCTTATTATTGACTTACTTTGACGTCTTGTGTTTGAAAATATAGGTGGTAATGGAAAGACACAGTATGTCGAGAGCCTAAAGGGTAAGGAACACAGCTCTCGTGGATGTGAATATTTCATTAAATGTGTTTTCAGAATGTTAGAGTGAACCCAATTTAACAGCACTCTGTAACTATGTATATAGCACTGCTCAAAATGGCCTCACTTACGTCAAGCACCACCTCCAACTGCTTTCACGGACATTCATAAACAGCCTGCCAGAGCCACTCAGATAAACTGCTATTTCCACAAGCCATAAGAAGTCAAACTGGTTGCAATGAGTATGGCACAAGACAAGGCCTTGGGAAAGGGGTGTAAACACTGGGCTCTCCGACAACTCAATGCCATTCTGCTCTCGGCTATTCCTGTGCATGAACCAGAGCAGCTGCTGTGCTGAACATCTCCTATGGTAGAAGCAACTCACCTCTCTGAAGCTAGAATCACTGGGACCCCTCTTTAGGGAATTGGACTGGCCTTGGACACCCATGTTGTCCCAGGGATGCTAGGCTGCAGAACGGTGCTATGTCATGTAGCTAGAGAGCATTCCATGAAAGCCTGCATCTTCTGGACAGACTCTCGGCCTAGAGCCCCTTCCTAGACCTGGTGCAGGTACTCAGCCTTGAGCAGGCTCTCCTCTCCCTGTCCCTCACCCTGCTTGCTTGTGTGTTAGGACGTTTGATGTGAAGAAAGCTTTAATGTGGTGGCAAGACACAAATTGAGTCGTGAGCCATTCCCTCATGCTCTCAATAGACTATAATATAAACTCAGAATCCTGGAACAAGCAGGCCAGAATCCTGAAATAAGCCTCGTTAAGGTGACCAGTCACAGTCAGCTTTTAAAAATGACAGCAAACTCTGAGCTTTACCAAAGAGAGAGGCCTGTAAGATTAATGGTGATCTTAACATAACAAAGCTGTTTCTTGGAGCCAGAGGTGTCCCCCAATGCCATTCTGCTCTCGGCTATTCCTGTGCATGAACCAGAGCAGCTGCTGTGCTGAACATCTCCTATGGTAGAAGCAACTCACCTCTCTGAAGCTAGAATCACTGGGACCCCTCTTTAGGGAATTGGACTGGCCTTGGACACCCATGTTGTCCCAGGGATGCTAGGCTGCAGAACGGTGCTATGTCATGTAGCTAGAGAGCATTCCATGAAAGCCTGCATCTTCTGGACAGACTCTCGGCCTAGAGCCCCTTCCTAGACCTGGTGCAGGTACTCAGCCTTGAGCAGGCTCTCCTCTCCCTGTCCCTCACCCTGCTTGCTTGTGTGTTAGGACGTTTGATGTGAAGAAAGCTTTAATGTGGTGGCAAGACACAAATTGAGTCGTGAGCCATTCCCTCATGCTCTCAATAGACTATAATATAAACTCAGAATCCTGGAACAAGCAGGCCAGAATCCTGAAATAAGCCTCGTTAAGGTGACCAGTCACAGTCAGCTTTTAAAAATGACAGCAAACTCTGAGCTTTACCAAAGAGAGAGGCCTGTAAGATTAATGGTGATCTTAACATAACAAAGCTGTTTCTTGGAGCCAGAGGTGTCCCCCAGCACTCTGAACCAAACCGCAGCAGTAAAGATTAAATCAGACTAAAAATATCCGCAACCTTGATGAAACAAACTGAAAGGATTTAGAATATTCCAAGGGCAATATGCCAAGATCAGGTGAAACATCAATTTAATATCCTGTGCCTCTGGGATTCGTAACTCGACCTTCACTGAGGATGAATTATACAATGTTCTCCAAGATCTCTTTTTTTCCTGTTCTAAATTGTGCATTTACATGACTATTTGGGTATCGAAAGTATGCCAAAAAATCAGTATCTCCAACTAGCATGTTCAATCTGTTCCATTCAAGAGTGTCCCACTGAAAAAAGTTTCATAATAAGGTGAAGCCATCAGACCGTACTGCTACAGGGTCCTCATCCCAGGCCCTATACTTGAGTTTTGAAAGCCAAGCCAGCACCAACCTAGCGGGGGCCTCTAATAGATCTCTAAAAAGTAAGAGATAGGCCTATTGGTGCAAGAAGGAAGACTTTAACAAAGACCACACATTCACATAACCTTTCCTCCCCTGCAGAATTCAGCCCAGTCCAATTTTTAGATGTGGAGATTCTAAATAGCACCTGCCTGGCTATCTAGGCCAACACCCTATCCTTCCAATCAAACTCCCATGAAAGTTTCCATTCCACACAAATCAAGTTCCCTGAGTCTGCACTCTGAAGTGCTACTAGGTGTTAGGAAGACAGACATCAGCAGACATAAAGATCAGTCTGCAGCCCTACTTTGCTCCATGGAGCTTGACCCTGTCTGCAGCCTGCCACCTTTAGCCTCTGTACTGGAATGAAAGTGATCAAAATCTGCTACAGACCTTATCGTCCAGTTGTCTGTAGAGACTGGAGATCTCCTCGTCATATTTCTCCTTCTCCTCTGTGGAGATGCCAGCAACAACGGGAGCAATGTTGTCTATGATGGGGGTGTTGTCACAGGGCTCCAGGTTCTTCTGGTCCTTAGCACTGATCTGTTCTTCCTCAGGCACGGCTTCACCTGCAAACCACACCCGGGAGGAATTGGAGATTAAAGAACTGGAGCATGCAGCCCTCTAGGAAAATTCTAAGAGCAGTCACTGTCAAAGGAAAAGACATGGAGGGCTCAATAAAGAACTCCTATATGAAGTTGTAGATTGTGTTCCTTCTCTCTGATGAGGAAGGGAATAGTTAGTTGGCCAAAACTAATCTAAGAAAGAGGAAGACCATACAACGCCCAACCCATCTTGATACATCACCTCAGTTAACTGGTTCCACTAATCATGACAGCTTTTAACTAATCTAACCTGCAGTGATGACTCAAATTTTTGCATTCACTTTGTTTTTGTTAAGGAATATGCTGGCCTTTACTAGAACTATAAGCTCTCTAGTTAATGATTCAAAGAAAAACAACTTCTGAGGCCTCCTAATTACCAATTAATTATGTTACTGTTTCATTAATAGAAACAGCCAACTCACGGGATAACCACCATTGTGTCACTGAAAAGCATAGGGCCCAAGTCCTCTGAATCCGAGTCTCTGAATCTGAGAGAAAGTCAGGGTTAGCCCTGGCCCCAAGGACTTTGACACTACTGTTCCCTCCCCAGGAAGTCAGAATTAATTGGTTCTGCTGGAGAGTTCAAATAGAATAATTTCTTGTGATGTCATGTACTCCCAGGGCAGAAAAGGCATCCAGTCTAGAGTATCGTGCAGAGACCCTATATACCACTCCTCAGACTGCAGAGTGCAACATGTGAGGGCCTTTGAAGGAAGCATTGCTAAATTCGACAATGCAAATTGAGGGGGAAAAGCACAGTTCTTAAGCTGGCCTATGGTTATTCTCCAGAAGAAAATCACTTTGTATAGACAGAGAGCATAAAAAGATTCTATGAAAAACACATTAGCCAAATGAGTCTCTCGAATATCTTCTTGGATAGCAAACCAAAACCAAATCTCCTTTTCCATCATAATGTTTACCATGACTTCACACGCATTTTGTCACCATCACCTAGAATGACCAACCCTCCCAGTTCTCAGCCCATAAAAGTCATTTGTGGAAACTTCCCAGGAAGACTGCTCTGAGCAGAGGGATTTTTTTTTAAATGATAGAAGAATGGATAACTTAATCTTTAGCTTCATTAATAGTATATCAAGCTTCCAGGAATCCTCATGGATATCGTATACATGCATTTCAATATACACGAAACTATGATGGTTCAGCATTGCTGCTTACAATCCCATTCTTTTGCCTGATCATCACAAACTGGTCTAGTAGGCTTCATGACACGACGTGATATGAAATGAACACCAGCCATGTCACTTTCGTATCACAGTGCCTTCTGAAGCAATAACTTGAAACAAAGTCAGGAATAAACTATTACTTTGTGGAATACAAAAATGAGCCAACCTTTTCCTGTTTTCAACTGGACTGTGGCTAAGCCTTTTTCTAAAATTATTGACCTGAGACAAAAGCAGAATATCAGAGTGATCTTTGAACTGAACCTGAACCAAATCAATATTTCATTCAGTCCCAATTCCTGGTTTAAAACATCCATCAACAACCTTAGTGTGTAGACTGGATTTCGTCCAATTAAGGGATCTATATTCTCTACAGTGTGCTAAATCCATGTGCTATAAAAAGCGGCACTATGATCTAGTTCCTTTTTCGTTTGTCTTTTTTCTAAGTTTACCTATCTATTTTTTTCCCATAAGAGAGAGAGAGAGCGAGAGAGGGGGGTTACTCCCAACAGGGTTCTCATGACTTCAGCTAGCCAGGCTCAAAGACACATGGCCACGGTCTATAGGGAGAACTTGATGTGAACCCGGGACTCCCTATATGGCTTCATTCAGCATTATAGAGCATTATGCTACTGCTGTGTCACCACAGCTGACCCTACTTGCTCTTTTTCTCCTCTTCTGTTTTTTATTCTTTTTTTTTTCTTTTCTTTTTTTTTTTTTTTTAGAGCATAAGTAAAGGGGGAGGGAGAGAGAGAAAAGGAGTGCCCTAAGGAGAACGCCGTCCTTTCTTCAGCATTAAGTGACACTGGATGGTCTGGATTCGATTCTTGGCCGGGACAAACTCAGGCTGCAGCTTCAGTGTGGATTCATACCACACTAAGGCTTTCTCAAACTCCTCCTGTGAGGGCGAAGAGGCAAAGGTGAGATGGACGGCACCACCAGACTAGATACGGTGGCCTCTTATTTTCCCTTGAGAAGGACCTTTGTGCTAGTGACAATCCTGCTGCCTCCTGTTATGGAGCGAGGTCTCTGTGGAAAACTCGGGGGCACCAGGAGGAAGCAGCTGCCTCCACTCACTGTGCGACATCACAGAGAAAGCCACTGGAGGCCCGAGGACCGACGGGCAGGGGTGGGTCTGCTTTTACAAGGGTTGGACCCAACAAGAGGAATAGTCTCGGCAGTAATAAGAACTCGGACTCCTGAATACATGCGCCCAGAATGAGTTTAAACTACCGGGTCCGGGACTCGAACCATGGTCAACTACATGGGAGTCCAGCGACATAGCCATTATGCTAACTGTTGTTCCCTTTTTCTCTTCTGTTTTAAAAAAATTTAGATACTTTCTAACAAAACAAGTAATTCTCAACATAAATGTTTCAAGCAATAGAGTATATATTGAAACAGACGTTCTCATTCACTTTTCCTTTCTTCTTTTATTAAAGAATTATGTATTATAATTTATTTATTACTATTATTATTTCTTAATTTGCTATAGGGCCACATGCAAGAGAGAAAATGAGAAAGCAAGCTACCAACTCCAGGACTCGTACCGTGGTCAGCCATGTGGGAGTCCAGCACCTCAACTACCATGCCACCTGCTGGCCCCCACCTTTCCTTTGTAATTCTGTTCCTTCTGTCAGAGAAATTCACCACTAACACTTTGGTCAATGTCCTTCCCCCACTTGGATTGTAACTCTCTAATTTTAAGGTTTTAGCTTATGAACTTCAGGGACAGAGAAATCCAGCACAATGTGAGTTTGATCTTCCAATTTATGCTTGATGAAGGTGAAATTCCTAGCTGTACTAAACTTAAAATTAGCCAGAATAGTCATGGTAACAGTCATATTATCTACAAGCCAATTCGCCCCAGGTCCAGAGGCACGGTGACATCTTATCTCTTACAAAAGTATCTGAAAAAGACATTTCCCTTTTGTTCTTTGGTTCCAAGTGGCCAATGAGGCACCAATGTCCTGAGACTTGGATGAGCTAAGGAGCGGCCAGTGTGTGCTTCTGTTCATCTGGGCAAGGGATGAACCTGCAGAACCTTAGCAGCAGGAAGTGACCTGCTCTAACCAAACTTCACAGGCCTGGCTTCCCCTAAAGCTCCCCCCTCTTTTCCCATTGAGGAATCCCAGTGTCACCAAGTAGTAGGGATGTCCCAGATTCCCAAGGTCCAACAAGCTAGCCAGCAATGCTAGTAGGCAGCTGAAAATGACCAACAAACTTTCATACACAATCCGGTACAGAGGCCGATGCTGAGCATTGTACCCTTAATGAGTCTAATTAATCACAAACCTGGAGCCAGCAGGTGGCACAGTGGTTAAGGCACCAGACTCCCACATGGTTAACCACAGTTCGAGTTCTGGATCCAGTGGCTTGAAACTCACATGAGGTGTGTGTACACACATGCTCAAAATCCTGAGAGGAGAATGGAGGAGAAGAGATTGCAGCATGGCCATCGTCCCCGGGGGTGATTTCTCCCTTTCTGTCTCTCTGGCAAGCGCACACACCCTACAGCAAAAATCTCTTTAAAAAAATAAAAATCACAAACTCATCTCCAGCTTAACTTCCTGATTTGCTTTTTGTAACAGAGAGGATATTATAATACCCTCATTATAGGACTGTTCTGGGAAGATAAATAAAGGCAGTATATGTAACAAGCACAAAATGTGTTACTACCTAAAGTCCATCCTTTCCCTAATAAATTCACAACTTTTTAGTCTTGGCAGATAAACTGTTATTTTCATTTATTCTGATTGGTGTTTCCAGAATACGTCTGTGGTTGGAGTTCAGTTCCAAAATTAAAACACAATAGCGCTATGCAAGTCCCTTTGTGATTGTTATCATTATTAACACAGTATTTGAAGCCTATATCTGTTTCTGCGTTCTGCTGAACAGTTCTCTGGGCCACAGTATCAATACCTCCCTCACAAAGCTACATCTAGACACCGAGCTCTTCCCAGTTCATATTCTAAAGGTCAGGCAGTCAGGATTAGTTTTGCAGCAGCCATTCAGACCGCGAGGAACAAAGCAGCAGCACGGGGGAACAAAAGCAGCACAGCTCCTGCCCAGAGAGGAACCACAGGCTGGTTTCCCACACACCGCTGCCCTTCAAAGGACCGAGAAAATGACTTCCAGAAGCGTCCCTGGTAACTACACTGTCCAGCTCAGAAACACGTCTGGGGACTGTAAATTCCCAACACTGTGCAGGACCTGACACCAGGCAATCTGTCTCCATGGCAATCTCACCACGTTAATCGAGAATATTCCCTGCACTGCAGTGGACCGAGTCTCAGGAGAAGCCCCCACAAGGTGATTATGGAAAAACTGATTGGACCGAGGAAGACAGCTGCAAACAAACCCTGGTGAAATAACACCATGAAAGCTGGTGGGGGGAGAAGAAGAAAGCAACCACTAGTTTTATTTTCCCTCTATGCACTAAAAGCCGATTTCTCTGCATTTAGACCCTGAGGCTTATACCTGCTATCTGTAGGAAAAGCGCTTATAACATTGTGAAGGATCTGGTTTTCTAGACTGAAAGGCTCTCTATGCACCCACCCATCCCCATGAGAAACCTTCCCCTTCTTTAAATAAGCATTCTGGCATTTACTATTGTCAGATGTAATTACCTTTAAGGACAAAAAAGATTTGTGTTTACACAGGAGCATTCACTTGGAGCATACCTGTAAGGCTTGCAGAGCCCTCTAATTATAAAGTGAAAACCCCCAGAAGGCATAAATAACTTGTCTACAAAAAATAGAAGCCCATCAATTACAACAGGCA